AAAACTGAGGACAAAATTTAAAACACAAGCAGAGCAATGAACAAAAATTGCAAGGGGGAACTTTTCACTAACACATTTCTGAAGCCCACTCACGTTGCCTGCTATTACAGCTGCACCGTTGTATGTCTGATCTACAACTTGTCACTGAATTTAAACTTCTGGCACACTGTTTCAACAGTCTGAGTAAAGGCCAGCAGCAATTTGATTGTTACTAACATCAGTAAAACCAATGAAGCATTCTGCCCCAGCACCATTCTTGGTCATGTAATGCAGTTGTCAAGGTTCCTCCCCCACTCTGAACTCTAGGGTACAGATGTGGGGACCTGCCTGAAAACCTCCTAAGCTTACTTTCACCAGCTTAGGTTAAAACTTCCCCAAGGTACAAATTAATTTTATCCTTTGTCCCTGGATCTCCACTGCCACCACCAAACTCTAACTGGGTTTACTGGGAAATGTAGTTTGGACAAGTCTTTCCCCCCAAAATCCTCCCAACCCTTGCACCCCACTTCCTGGGAAAGGTTTGGTAAAAATCCTCACCAATTTGCATAGGTGACCATAGACCCAAACCATTGGATCTGAGAACAATGAAAAAGCATTCAGTTTTCTTACAAGAAGACTTTCAATAGAAGTAAAGAAATCACCTCTGTAAAATCAGGATGGTAGATACCTTACAGGGTAATTAGATTCAAAACATAGAGAATCCCTCCAGGCAAAACCTTAAGTTACAAAAAAGACACACAAACAGGAATAGTCATTCTATTCAGCACAATTCTTTTCTCAGCCATTTAAAGAAATCATAATCTAACACATACCTAGCTAGATTACTTACTAAAAGTTCTAAGACTCCATTCCTATTCTGTCCCCGGCAAAAGCAGCATACAGACAGACACAGACCCTTTGTTTCTCTCCCTCCTCCCAGCTTTTGAAAGTATCTTGTCTCCTCATTGGTCATTTTGGTCAGGTGCCAGTGAGGTTACCTTTAGCTTCTTAACCCTTTACAGGTGAGAGGATTTTTCCTCTGGCCAGGAGGGATTTTAAAGAGGTTTACCCTTCCCTTTATATTTATGACAGCAGTTCAGTTGAAAGCTGAGACTAATTGAATATCTGAGGTTTCGTCAAGTAAAATTGCAACAAATGATGCTTCCTCAGTTTCTTTGGCAATGGCATTAAGTTGGAAATTACTTACTGCTTCAGTGAGGTCATTCTGAATTCTATTCCGTGTGCCAGGACAAAAAAGGTAGCAGTTTCCAAATAAAAGATCAAACTCACTGACTAATTCTAAGGTATCTACATAGTTTTCCCAGTTCAGGGAATCATCATCTGACTTGTTAATGTCTATGAAACCCCAGGTCTTATTCTCTGAGATGACATACCATAAAAATTTCTACTTGCAAAATGGTCCGATTCTGACAAAAATTTCCATTGTGTTGTCTCACAGCAATTCTGTTGCTCATCTAACTGAATATCAGTACAATCTTATCCAAATGCTCATAGCTGTATATGGGCTGTTAGGTGATGTTGGCTAGTTTTGTGATGTCTGCAGGCATTGTGTGGGTTGCTTTGGTCATTATATCCTGCCTTATTCCACATGTACTTTTCACTGACAAAAGGCAGAGAGGGCCAGCAGTATAGCTTGTTTGTTTCTGCCATAAATCCATACACATTTGTACACCTCTTCTCTGAAATACGATTTTCAACTCGTTTCCTGTTTTTCTGGAAGAACTCACTAATTGCAGTTTTGGTTTTGGCCTTCTATTTCTTATAATTTCTGGGGTTCTTTTGCATAGTCTCTTGCACTAAATGAATGAAAAAAAATTCACTAAACTTTCCACCCTGATGAAGACTTTGCACCACTAGCTCTGTTCTACCAGGGACAATTTAATCGTACACTTGAATGCCTGGTGTATTCATTCAATTCTACACTTGCAATAGGAGTTCTCTTTGGCTTGTCTCAGCTGTAGGACAGCACCCGTGATGAAAACACAGGTAACAGTGATTACCACCATCCCCTGCCTGGCCATATTTAATATTCTCTTTGCTTTTCCACTCTTTTGTTTTGCCATTAATGAGACATTCATTATTCCAAATTGAGCTTTAAACAGCAACCCATATGTAAACTTTAATCTCTGCCTGAAGCTCTTACAAAAAAATATTGTTTTGCAAAGCAGTGGCTGATGAAAGAGTATATGGCACAGAACAGAAAACATATGAAAGAGAAGCATATAAAAAAAGGCAATTTTCATGGATACACTTCAAAACAGAAAGAGTCAGGAGTGCTAATAAAGTAGAAACAGTAGGGGGGACATTTTGTTTTTAAGTGCCTTAAATATTTAAATAGATTTCTTATTTTTGAAAATGTCCAGTTTCAAATTAATTTTGTGTGTAATTATCTAAGGGCTTTTTTTAAAAAGGGCAGTTATAGAGCGCATATCATTTCTCTATAGTGTGCTCCATGAATTTCCAGTTTCTCCTGCATACAAATTTAGAGGAACCTGGTCACCACTGACTGACTGCTGCTTACCTTGGTCCCTCCCTCCAGTGCATCCCTTGTGTCAGGAACAGCAGAATCTCCCTGAAACTGGGGGGGGGGGGCACTAGTGCCTGAATCGTGGCCCCGCCTCCCTGCACTGCCCTTTCTCCCCAAGACCCCACCCTTGCACTGCCCCTTCTCCCCAAGCCCCACCCTTGCACCGCCCATCCCCCTGAGGCCCCGTCCTCACACTGCTCCTTCTCCCCAAGCCTCTGCCCCTACACACAGCCCATTCCTCCTGAGGTCCCACCCCGCCTCTTCCCCTGAGGCCCTGCCCCCCGCTCGCTCCTCTCCACCTCCTCTCCTCCATCACTTCCCCTTATGGCCATTAAAAAGTGACGGGGCCATGGCCCTCTGGCTCCCCCTGTTACGGCACCCCTGTCTTGTGTATTCAATTACACATTTGCATGCCTGACATTCCACAAAATGGCTTCTTCCATATGGTGTGTATGGGGTCATGCTGTTCAGAGGACATCATTTTAAAATGGCATCCTCTATGCTCATTCAGGGGCTGGATGGAATCTGCCCATGGGCCCCCTGTTTTTTCTGCAGCATGGGTTGCATGCACAGATGGCATGCCCCTCTCTGGGAATATGTTCCTAAAATATGTGTTGGAGGCGGAATTGATTAACAAGTTTGCCCTAGGCAAAGGAATGTGGACTTACCTGTCTGCCTTGGAAACTGTTGTGCATCAAACATCGTCAAACCAGCACAAAGAATGCTTCATTTGCATTTTAGGTCAACAGAAGAACAAGGTATCAGGAGGATGAACAAACAACATGGCGTCAGCTTCCTGAAGCACAAACAGCAGGGGAGAAAAACCTTATTTGTGGATGCACTTCAAAATATATTTTTTCAATATATTACTGGACTATAAGCAGAAGGGGAGAGAATCCCTTAGTTACCCATCACTTAAGGGACAAAGGGGCCAGAGCTCCTGGAATCTGTGAAAGGTGGATCCCTCAGCCATGTGGGTTAGGGACAACTGAGAACTGACAGCAGGTGAGAAATTGCCTGAGACCAGGATTGTCATTTGCTAAGTTTTAGACACTAGAAAGCAGGTTTTATTTTGTTTTATTTGTGACCACTTCCTGTTTCTATTATCCTTGCTTAGAATCACTTCCAGCTCTGTTCTTGATTAATAAACTTATTTTTGGTTTTGCCATAAAATTATCTCAGTGCTCCATATTAAAGTAATGTGTGGGTCTTCAGCTGAACTGATAAGCTGGTGTCTGCACTGTCTTTTTGGAGACAGTGGACGTGGTATTTCTGTGGGCATCCAGTGAGGGGCCTGGATGCTGCAGGGGAATGCACTTCCAGGGGGGTTGGGAACTGGGATGCACCGACTGTTACCTGCAAGGCAAAGTTAAGACTGGCAGAGTCTTGAGGAGTGTACTGGGGAGGTGGACAGACTGGTGTGGCAGGGAGTTGACAGGCAGTTTAAGCTCCAGCAGAACTGTCTCTGGCTGAGGGAGAGGGGTAAGACTGTGGCTCCTGGTTCTGAGAAAGCATCCCACAGGGACAGATGGGGCTGAATCAGCAGGGTCATGGTGGTGTTGCATGTTTGAATTTAATAATGATTCAAGTCTGGCAAATAGGCTCTAGTGGAATTATTTAATCAAAGATTGTCAATCAGAGATCAGTACAGCACTATACGAAATACAAAAGGAATAGATACATTACCAGCCTTGGTATCAGGTAAAGAGCTGGCCTCTATGTCTCTCCCAGTTTTCACTCCCCAACCTAATTTTCACACCTTTTGTCTTTTATAGGGTATGACACAGAGAAACTCCTTTTTGGAGGGAAAATTGTTTCTCATGATTAATTTCACCATGTGTTCTGTTTTTGAAATTACTGATGGAATTTCTTTTATGGTGCTCAGTTTGCCTGACTGATGAGTAAAAAGGAATCTCTAATCTGGTTTCTAACACTGTAGAAACTGGCTGTTTTTAATGACTTAGAAACATATTTCAATGGGTCATTATTTCATCCATTACAGAAAACATCTGATAATTATCCGTTACCAATCACACAGTTTTGTTTATTACATACTTCTGTAGACTCTTTTAGTAGTTTGAGGATGTCTTTTCCCTGGACACCTAGATTTCCATGGACCTGAAAATGCTGAGGATAATTAGACACAGCTCAGATCCATAAAGATTTTTTGGAGAATTATTACTATGTGAATGAATTTAACATACAAAAAGGAAAAGGGGACTAAGAGAGTTAATATTTACTAACAATGGTGTTTCACAGGGCAAGGTGGAAGGGACAGGACTACCCACTAAGATTCTTGGGTCTGAGCTTTATCTTCCTGTATTTACTGATTGCCACAATCATTAGGAGTTTAGCTGGAGGAGCGTGCAGTGAGGCGTAGACATGTATGGTACCCAATAACCTGGGAAGACGGAGTCCAATTCCTTGGACTCTTCTGTTAATTGATAACCTACTTCCTTGTCAGCCTGTGGCATAAAGAAATGGGAAGGAGATTTCTGTGAGCACAAGAGAGCCAGGGAATTGGTATTCAACCCTCACAAGAAGGACCAGGTGTCTGTCGTGAGTCACTCGCTAATGGGGTCTGCATGGGGCTGGAGCCAATGGTGAATGGGGCCACCAGGGCTGAGGATCATGGGGCAGGGCTCTAGTGCTGCTAGAGGAATGGGGAGGAAAATGGGAGAGAGAAGCGAATGGGAAGGGTGAGGATTAGAGCAGATGGCCAGGCTGAAGGCACAATAGGAAAGGTCAGCACCAGGGCAGGGGACAGAGGATGTGGAGGCTCTGGGTTGGTGATATTGTGAGGACAGGGCTTGGTTTGAATTTAGTGGACTCTTATGGGTTAGGCTGACAGTACAGAATGTGCCATTCTCTGGGTTTGCCTACATTTGAAAGGAATTTTGGATGAACTTGAGGTTTTTCAGGACAAACAGCACTGATAAACTTCAGGAAGAACCCAAATTTTCTTAATTATCTGGCGTCTCATTCCATATGGACACCACCCCTTTGGAAGCTCATTCACTCAAATTCAGAAGGGGTCATTATGCAGTGGGGTAGGCAAGGCTGCATCTTCTGTGCATGGTGGCATTGGGACAGCCTGCAGGAGAAGGCAAAAAGCTAGGTTCAGAGATTGGGCTCTAGTCCTGTTTTCCCCCTGTATGACCCTGGGACAGGCCCTTTGTCATGCTGTTCTATGCAGTGGCAGGGCCACCCGTGGGGGGGGAGGGGGGGCGGCGCAAGTGGGGCAATTTGCCCCAGGCCCCGCAGACAGGGAGGGGGCAATTTCGGTGGCAATTCAGCAGCGGGTCTTTCAGTCCCTGTCTTCCTCGGCGGCGGCACTTCGGCGGCAGCTCAATTGCTTCGTTTCAGTCTTCTGCGGCAATTCGGCGACAGGTCCTCCTGTCCTCTTCTTTCTTCGGCGGCACGACTTGGGTTTTTCTTTGTTTTTTCTTCACCGCTTGGGGAGGCAAAACTAACTTTTTTTTATGGAAGGGGCCCCCGAAATTGCTTTGCCCCAGGCCCCCTGAATCCTCTGGGTGGCACTGTGCAGTGGGGATAAAGGCACTTAGCAGTGTGTCAGGGGCTGCACACATTGTGTCTGGCAAGGCTCTAGGCAGCCCAGGGGACAGAATCACCAGGCAAAGTGTAATCACCGGGCAAAGTGTAAGGGAGTGCACATGTGCATTAGTCAGCAGGGTTGCTAGCTTTTGCCATTTCTTGGATTCCAAGGCCACAAGGGACAATAGTAATCATCTGGTCTAGTGGTGTGCAAACTTTTCCAGTCATGCCCACCCCCTACCAGTAACAGAATCTGTCTGCGCTCCTCCTCCAAAACTGCACAGCCAAGGCTTCCTCAATGGCGGAGCTGGGGGAGGAACTGGGGATGGGGGAGGAGCTGGGGCTAGAGGCAGAGCTGGACTGAGAGCAGAGATGGAATGAGGGCAGAGCTAGGCTGGGGGTGGAGCAGGGGGTAGGGTGGAGCTGGAGGCGGATCTGGCCTGAAGGCTGAGCAGGACTGGGGGCTGAACGGGGTTGATGGGTGAGGGGTGGAGCTGGTCTGGGCGAGGAGCATGGTTGGAAGTGTGGTGCTTCCTCCCCACCCCCCGTAGGGGCTGGCCTGGGCCCCAGTGTGCACCCCCCCAAACATTCCTCCATGACATCCTAGCGAGGCGCGCACACAGTTTGGGGATCACTAATCTAGCCTGAGCTCCTGTATAACACAAGCCAGAGAACTTCCTCAAAACAATTCCTAGAGCGGAGCTTTTAGGAAAAGCCCAGTCTTGATTTAAAAATTGCCAATGATGGAGAATGCACAATGACCCTTGGCAAGTTGATCCAGTGGTTAATTACCCTCACTGTTAAAAATATACATCTTATTTACAGTCTGAATTGGTCTATCTTCAACTTCAAGTCATTGGATGGTTTTAGATCTTTCATTTCTATACTGAAGAGCCCATCAGTAAATATTTGTTCCCCATGTAGGTACTTATAGCCTGTAATCTAGTCACCCCTTAACCTTCTCTTTGTTAAATTAAATAGATTGGGCTCTTTTAGTCTATTACTATAGGCAGGCTTTCTAATCTGTTAAGCATTCTTGTGGCTCTTCTCTGAACCCTCTTCATTTAATCAACATCCTTCTTGAACTGTGGGCACCAGAACTGGACACAGGATTCCAGCAGTGGTCCCACCAGTGCCAAACAGAGAGGCACAATAACCTCTCTCCTCCTACTCGAGATTCCCCTGTTTATGCATCCCAGAAGCACATTAGCTCTTTTGGCCACAGCATCACATGAGGAGCTCACGTTCAGCTGATTATCCACCACAAGCCCAGATCTTTTTCAGAGTCCCTGCTTTCCAGGATAGAGTCCCCCATCCTGTAAGTGTTGCCTGTATTCTTTGTTCCTAGATGTATACACTTACATGTAACTGTATTAAAGACGTATTATTTGCTTGTGCCCAATTTACCAAGTGATCCAGATTGCTCTGTATCGTTGACCTGTCCTCTTCATTATTTACCACTCCCCCAATTTGTGATAATTTTGTTTTCTTCCAAGTCATTGATAACAATGTTACATAGCGTAGGGCCAGGAACTGATCCCTGCAGGATCTCAGTGGAAACACATATGCTCAATGAGGATTCCCCATTTAAATTACATTTTGAGGCTACCAGTTAGCCAGTTTTTTATCCATTTTATGTGTGCCATGTTAATTTTATATTGTCCTAGTTTTTTAATCAAAAATACCATGCAGTCAAATGCCTGGCAGAAGTCTATTACATCCACACTATTATCCTTAGCTACCAAACTTGTAATCTCATGAAAAAAAGATATCACGTTAGTTTGACAGGCCTTATCTTCCATAAACCCATGTTGATTTGCATTAACTACATTACCCTCCTTTACGTCATTATTAACTGAGTCCCATAACAGCCACTCCATTATCTTTCTGGGGATCAACATCCAGCTGACATGGCAGGGATATAGAGTGTGTACTAGTCATTCTGCTCCCTGCTTCCCCTCCCCTCCTGTGAGCCATGGGTCAGTCTGCTTCATGCTGTCCCCCACTCCTCTTCCTGGCTGCAGCACCCAGGATGGGGGAGGAGCTGCCCCTGTGGTCTGCCAGGGAGAGAGAAGAGGATCCTGCTACAAGTTCCCCCTCCCTGAATCTTGTGGTGAGGGATGAAGATCACTGGGAGATTCAGGGGGGCACAATGGGTGGCTGTGTGGGGAGGGGGCAGGTGTGGGGCTGGGCAAGGTGGGTCCGGGATGGGGTGGCAATGGATGGCTGTGGGGAGGGGTGGGTGTGGGACATGGAGGGGTGGGACAGGTGTAGGGTGATTGGATGGCTGGGTGGGAAGGGGTTGGGATGGGGTGGCAATGGATGAGTGAGTAGGGAGGGACAGAGCTGAGACTGACAATGGATGGCACGGGGCGGGGCTGGGTTCCACACAGTATGAGTTGTTTCCAAGGCTGGGCTTGGGAAGCTGGAGGCTCAGCCAGGGCCCATGCAGCGGGGTCAGATCCCTCTATCTGTATGTTAGGCCTGTTGGTGCCCTGCAGCTGCCCCCCATGCACTAGGTTGGGGGGCGGGGCATAGGGGGAGGTCAGTAATCTAAAGCAGACCAAGCCATGTTATAACCTGGTAGAAAAATCTCACTGTTTGGGGGCTAGTTCTAGGATTGTTGGACCTGACTGATGACAACTGAGCTTTTGGGGTTGGCTGCACTGTGTGAGTGCTGCGGGGGTGGGGGGAAGGCACCTGCCCCCAGCCCATTGTGTGGGCCCAGGTCACCGTTGAGCCCCTGGCTAACAACGCCAATGTCAGAGCCCTAGGAAGATGACTCAATTTCCAGGGGCAGAGCTATTCAAATTTAATCTAATCTGGGACCACAAATTCTGTTCTGCACCAGTCATAACAGAGTTGTTACAGCATGGAGTCACTACAGGGCAGAATTATGGATGTCTGGGAGCCTTAGCTGTGTGTTTCCACACTGTCACATGCTTGGGTTTCTTCTAAGTGTAACCTTGGCTCTGAATTTCCGGGGTTTGCTATGCTTGTTTTGGGGATTAGCCCGGCACTTATTTTTATTCTCAACCAGCTGAATATCGTTTTTATCGGGGGGTAGGGCCCAGGAAATGAGTTCAGGAAAGGGCTGAACGTACTTTATAAACAGTGACTGTCTGTTTGCCTCCTGGTCCCCTGTGAGGAAGTTCTGGGGCAGGCAGGAATGTGGGGCTTTCCCCCACTCCAGTTGGAAACAGGAAGACTGCTCAGGGCTCCCCCCTTGTCGGGGTAGAGAGGTGAGGAAGAGAGCTCTTAGGCAAAGAAGAGGAAGAGAGCAAATGAGCCAGCCTTGCAACTCTGAGCTCACTGGCAGCTCTTCCATTAACTTTATTGGTGGAGGAACAAACTCAGTGCTTCTCTTGACAGGAGAGAAATTCAGGACAACTCCTCTCTCAGGCCTAGAATAACAAAGCTGCTCCTGGCGTCTCCTGGAGCCTGATACAGAACCAGGAAAGAGATCCCAGCTTCCCCTCTGCAACACACTGGGGTTCAATCCAGACCAGTGTGAGCTTGTGTCACCCCCTCCCCTGTAACCCTGAGTGCCGTAAATGCTCTGCCACTGTGGCTCACAGCCCGGACACCAACAGCCAGCAGACAAGCATGTAGTTCCCTGACTGTCCATGTGCTGTGCCTCCCTTGTTCAGTGCTCTGACCCAGCAGTCTGCCTAGAACACAACAGCCCCTCCCTGGTCTCCTTTAACTGGAGTGAACAATCATTTCAATTCAAACACAGCACGGAGTTGGATTATAGTCAAAATAGAGCATGTTTATTAACAAAAGGACATAGGTTAAATGATACCATGCAGGAGGGACTGAAGGTAGAATGGGTTACAATCAAAGACAAGTAAAAATACACTTTCTGATGACTGAGACCTAACTTAACAAGCGACAGATTTTGCTCTAGGTAATTTTCTCACCATCACCAGCATGGCTGATCAGACCCTCTGGCCAGGACCCAATACACGGAGCACAAAGTGCCTGGTTCCTTTGTCTCCTCAGGTGGAGGCTAAAGATAGATCTCTCTCTGTCCCTTATATCCCCAAAGGAATTGTCTTTGTCCTAAAAGGCAGGAAGGTCTCCTGGGGATTCAGTCTCCTGTGTCTCTCTGGGGTGCAGGAGCCATATTAATTCTCTGTCTCTTGACTTCAGACTCAGAATATCCCCACTGGTTTAGCTTGATGTCTTTGTTTACTGCTAAAATATACATTACGGTAAACCCACATTCTTTTGTCTAGGATAAACCTGTTTATTCCCTTTATCTAGGCTAGGCTAGGCTATCTGGCTTTAGATATGTTCCAGTTACATCACACTGAGAGAATTTATAACTTCACATATAGAACCATAGGGTTAGAAGGGACTACAAGGGTCATGTAGTCTAATCCCCTCCAAGATGCAAGATTTGTTGTGTCTAAACGTTGTTACATATATTTTACAATGATATTATTCACCAGTACATTAATAGTTTTCAAATGATAGCTCAAAAGGCGTATTTTATACAGTTATCATTACACTAGTGTGTAGGGTGTGAATAAAGGGGTGCATAGGGTCACACTTTCCCAGCTCAGGAACCAGATGGATAAATATAAATGGACACACCTAGGGACAAAGAATACAGGCCATACGTACAGGATGGGGACTTTATCCTGGGAAGCAGAGACCCTGAAAAAGATTTGGGGTCATGGTGGATAATCAGCTGAACATGAGCTCCTAGTGTGATGATATTGTCAAAAGAGCCAATGGGATCTTAGGGTGCATAAACAGGGGAATGTCAAGTAGTAGATTATTTTGCCTCTGTATTTGGTACTGGTGCTACTTGTGCTGGGATCTGGTGCCCAGATCTGGTGCCCACAATTCCAGGAGGAGGTGGATAAAATGGAGAAGGGTTCAGAGATGAGCCACAAGAATGATTAAATGATTGGAAAACCTGCCTTCTAGCGATAGACTCAAAGAGGTCAATCTATTTAGCTTAACAAAGAGAAGGTTAAGGGGTGAGTTGATCAAAGTCCATAAGTACCTACATGGGGAACAAATATTTAATAATCAGCTCTTCAGTTCAGCAGACAAAGGTCAAACATGAGCCAATGGCTGGAAGCTGAAGCTAGACAAATTCAGACAGAAATACAGTGTACATTTTAACAGTGAGAGTCATTAACCATTGGAACAACTTACCAAGGGTCATGATGGATTCTCCATCACTGACAATTTTTAACTCAAGATGGGATGTTTTTCAAAAAGATTGATCTAGGAATTATTTCAGGAAGTTCTCTGGCCCGTGCTATACAGGAGGTCAGACTAGATGATCAAAATGGTCCCTTCTGGCCTTAAATCTATGAGCTCTGGGCTTCTCTCCCTTGGGTCCAAAACAAGGAAGCAGCTCAGGGTTTCCCCACTCTTGGGAAGCAAATGGCTATTGCCTCCCAGCTCGGGAACCAGATGGTGCTCATGGCATCATTCCTTCACAAGATGCACTGTTGCGGGGCCATCCAGCTAATTCCTGAGTTTGTGTTGTAGCGGGAGCATATCTCGATATGGAGGATGTCAGAATTTCACTCGGTGACCTGGAGAAGGGCTTGGAGAACACGGCTTTCGACTCCATGGTAAATCTTCCCTTCTCTTCTGCACTGGCCTTTGGACCTGCTCTGAGAACACTGACTAACAGGAAGTTTTACAGGAAGAAGAGGGACTCCCTGAGGGAGCACAGAATCCACCTCCTGAGAACAGAGAGCAGAGGGCCGAACGCCCCACCTTCTGGAGGTATAGTAACCCCGGGAAGAGTCACTGCTCCCCATATAGCTCCCATTAACCAAAACACACACACTACAAACACAACAGTAAACCAGAGATTAGCACACAACCACTTTGGGTATGTCTACACTGCAAGGTAAGCCCAGGCTCAGACTCAGGCTCTAACTCTAACCCCTCTTCCATCTACACACAAATCTCTCGGCCTCAGGGCCATGGTCCTATGACCCCATGAAGACGGAAGGTCTGAGCCGGAGTCAAGGTGGGGCCCAGAGTTCAAGGCCTGTCATTTTGCAGTGTAGATGCAACACCCCTTGGACACAGGTTCTTGGAGTCCGCCAAAAGTATTCCACAATGCTATGGGCCGACTTCCTTTGTCCTCTCTCTCCCAAGAATCATTAATTGACTCTAGGGAAACGGAAGCACCTCCCCTTGTTCTTGTACAGCTGCTTTGTAGTTAACCCTTTTGTTTTATTCTGATGGCCAAGCTGCAAATACACCTTAGGAGAGCACAGAGCAGTCTGTGTTTGCAACGGATACCAAACAGAAAGTGCACTGCATCATGGTTGCAGGAGACAGCCAGAGCCAGATCTTGGTTAGTCTCTGGTGCTAGGTCTGCAAAACAACTGATTTTCGTAAGAGTACTGGAATGCCCACGTATACCAACAAATAGCAAAGAAGCTGGTATTGTTGGAAATTTACCAACCAGCAACCAGTATGACGAACAGATGAAGGGGCTCAAGAATGAGTACCAGAAAACCAGGACTACAGCTGCACCTCTGGCAACTCACCAGCATCACGCCCTTCCTATGATGAGTTTGAGTATGATGAGGACTGTGTTGAGCAGTGAGCCACCAGTGGTGCTCGATGACCTGGTCAGCTGGGAGGAGGCCCCGGTGGCCTCAGAAGCCAACATGGGAATTGCTGAATGAGGCAAATGAAGTGACTCTGCTGATGAAACTTGTCCTAGAGGAGGCTTTGCCACAGGAACAGCTGCAGCGCATACTGGGGCCATACTCAGAGGAGATTTTTGATGCCCTCTGGAGGAACAACCCACCGCGGAGCTGGCAGCAGAAACAGACAAGGGATAGCTGCCCCAGAGTCTGGTAAGTTTCTGGGTTCATTTTTCTGTTTATTAATATGGGAATGGGAGAGATTTCCACTCCATGAACCAATGCCAAAAGTTTATAAGCCCTGGATAGCAGCATGTAGCTGCTAGTAGCTAACTGTTCCTGCCCCCAACAATGGAATTCCAAATGGAGACCAGGAAATGCCAGCAGTAAAACAGGCAAGTCAAAAGAAATCTCTCCTGGGAAGGTGCCCATTTTTGCTAGTATTTTCTATTTTGTTGAAATAAGAACCGTATATTACCTTTCCCATATGTACACCACTCAGTACCAACCCCATGGTGTAATGAGCTGCTTGAAAAGACTGAATTGTTTTGCTCGAGGCAGGGGGAAGTGATTCAAATGTCTGTTTTCATACGTAGTCCATTTCTGTTAAATGTAGTCCATGCATTCCATGGGTGACGAAATCATTAATCCCAAATACGACGAGGCGTTTGAAGTCAGTTCAGAAATTTGCCAGGGGGAGAAGGGGGATGGCTGTGGAGTTCCATTCCAGGTGTTTGCACGCCATCCTACCAGGCTTCATCAGAAGCCGTGGAGAGACGCTAAGCCATGTGGATGCTAATGCAGCACCCTGTTGATTCGTTCATGAATTCTGACCCAATCCTGGGGGCTGATTGCTGCAAACTTTTCATGTAGCTGGAACTCCATGTCTGTAGTCACATTTCGGGGAAGGGTGTATTTTTCAGGGCTACCTTGGTAGCTCACCAGCCCACTCCACTCATAGATGTGCTGTTCACTCACCATACATTTGAACACTTCAGAGGCATACACACCTGGTTTCCCACCAACAGCCTGGCCACCAACCTCCTCCCAAATTCCATTTTTTTGAATTTATTTTTTAATGTTGTGATTTTTAACTTACCATTCTCTCAGCATAAGAACATGGGAGGGGGAGGAATAGCTCAGTGGTTTGAGCTTTAGCCTGCTAAACCCAGGGTTGTGAGTTCAATCCTTGAGGGGGCCATTTAGGGATATGGGGCAAAAAAATTGGGGATTGGTCCTGCTTTGAGCAGGGGGCTGGTCTAGATGACCTCCTGAGGTCCCTTCCACCCCTGATATTCTATGATTCTATAAGAAAGGCCCTACTGGGTCAGACCAAAGATCCATCTAGCCCAGTATCCTGTCTTCTGACAGTGGCCAGTGCCAGGTGCCCTGGCACTGGCCACTCTCGGAAACGAACAGAACAGGTAATCATCAAGTGATCCAACCCCTGTCACTCATTCCCAACCACTCCTTGCACTGCAATTAACTGGGCTGTGTCTAGAGAGCTTCTGTGGGCTGAAGCAGCCTACTGTCAATATATTGAAGTTCAGTTTTAAAAGGTAACATTTTCTGTCCTTGAAATTCCAAAATGAGTTTTTGTTCTCCTGCACCAAGCTATCGGAGACAGTAACCCTTTGTGTCTTGTCCTATTCCAGGCCCCTCGACCTTGACAAACTGCAGTATTTCCACAGCTCGCCCACACTGCAGAAGCTAAAGAGCCATCTCTCTTTTTTCTGGGAACAGCAGCACTCATAGATCTCTAAATGTGGTCTACCAGCAACAGGTTGATGCCTGTCACAGAAGCAGATGATTTGGCATGTTCCTTCCAAGAGGCTGTATGGCAAAGCTGCTGGGACTTTGTTCTTTTAAGGAGCTCTGCCTGCAGTGGCCTTGTACAGGTGCCCAGTTATCTTATGAGGAACACAGACAGATGATAGTTGTCCCTCACCCACTGTACAAGGGCTTGGCTCACCATGAGGGATGTGAAGGGCTATATTAACCGCTGTCAGTGGAGAGCTCTGCTGAGCTTGCAGTCAAGGGCACTATAGGCGCCGACTTTCATTTTTCTGGGTGGGTGCTCCACCCTGAGGCCCCGCCCCCACTCCAGCCCTTCCCCCAAGGTCCCACCCTAGCTCCGCCTCTTCCTGCCTCCTCTCTACCCCCCCCACATGCCACCGAACAGCTGATCGGCACGACCTGCTGAAGTAACAGCTGATTAGCGGGTGGCTGGTGGGTGCTGAACACCCACTATTTGTCTGTGGGTGCTCCAGCCCCAGAGCCCCCATGGAGTCGGTGCCTCTGGAGGGCACTGTTCCCTGGACTGCAGGGCAGTAGTGGGGAGGCATCTTTCCCCAAATCCCAGGAAGGCTGGTGTTTGTGTGACTGTCCACAGCTGGGAGGCCAGTTAGGATACATGGGTGTGAATAGGCTGCACCGGATCCTGCAGTTCCTGCTGGGCACAAGTGGCTCCTGAATCAGGGGAGTTTTGCTCGGCAAGCACCCTGCATGTGCGTTGGTGTCTCTGTTTGCATCTCCCCAGGCGTGCAGCACGGCCCGTGTCGTGGGCCAGAAGGGTGTGTAAGGCTCACAGCAAGGTGCTCCGGAAGGTTTTCCTGGGCCTCTTGTGTGCAGGTGAGACTGTCGGGCCCTCTCACAACATGTGGGAGATCCTCCTTGGGAATCAGAGACACTAGAACCAAGAGCCCCTCCTCAGCCAAGTGGACTCACCCCCTCAGCATGTTCTCCAGGCCTTGGGCTAGTCTGGATTTGCATGTCCCAAGCAAGGGGGGGGTCCACCCCTTGTCACGAAGGTTGCATCTGAGCCCAGTTCATCTCATATCTTTCCAGCTACAGTGGGCCTGTGTCATTCTGACCCCATTGCTCCTGGTCAGACCTTCTCCTCACGGGGGGTTCAGGCATCTCTAGTCCTGGAACAGCATGACCCTGTTCCCCCCCTTACCCCTCCTGGTGAACATGCAGAGATCTCTACTTCTGCCTTCCTGTCAGTCCCTCCAGCCCCCAGGAATGGCTGGTCACTACAAGCCCATGAGCTAGCTCACTTGACTGCTGTGGGATTGCTCTGCAGTGGTAGAGGTTGTGTGGTGAGGGATGGGGGAGGAATAGCTGGAGGCCAAGGAGGGTTTGTGAGAGCTGAGTCTGCCCACAGGCCCCTGAAGCCACTCACTGCCTCTGCCCTGCTTTTCCTCAGCTTACTTGGCCTATTTCATCACGGCCTGTTGGCTGGACTTCCAGCGAGCCATTGCCTTGGTCGTTATCACTGGTCTGGTCATCTTCTTCGTGGGCTGGGGCTTCATTCAGAAACACTGTGGAGCCAAGCTGACGAAGCTTCTGAGCCCCTGTCGGAAATGCTTTCTGAAGTCCTGGCCATGGCTAAAATGGTGAGTCTGGCAATAAACACATTATCCACCGGAAAGCAACTTTCCTCTGGGCTGCATGTTTCACCAGGTGCATTGGGTCTCCGTCACGTCAGTGCACACACACACGCCCGATGGGCATGGGAGAGCTGGGCTGGTGTGCACACACGGAGCATGTACTAACTGGGCCTGCGCTGGACTCCAGGGCTGGGGGCTGTGCTGAAGCTGGCAGACACATGCTGGCACACATTCCCAGACAGACGTGGCCCTAGAGGCCTCTCCGGGGAGGGATCTGACAGCCACTGCAGGTGTGCTAAATAGGATTGTGATAACATGAACTGTGCCTCTCCATACTGATCGGAAGGGCTGCAGTTTGGTTGTCTCTTCAAACGATTCCCATCTCTTCCTTGATGGAAGCTGATCTCCACTATGGGGTATTCGCTCAAAGAGAAAACATCTCACCTTGGTCCATGTGCTCGGGGCAGTATGGGTAATCCCTGGACTTTCCTGCCTTACTGTGCAACCCTCGCTCACACAAGTGGCCCTGACGCACGGTCAGGCTACTTGTCGCCATGTAGGCACTTAATGACTGTGATCAAGTCAGTGTTTTCTCCAGGAATTGAAATTAGGGGGGGGTTCAAATTTACAGCGAGGCGGGGTCAGGGCTGATGAGGTGTGAGACCGTGAAGGGTGAAGGCTGTATGGCACCATAATAAAAACTGAAAAATGTTTCATGACCATTTTATTTGATTTTAAAATCATCACACAAATTAAAGTTGGCTACTTAAGCCTTCTATGAAGCACTATATCTACATCCTTCTTGGTTTCTTGTTATAATTTTGCATAACTCTGTTAATGAACTTCTTGAATGCAATGCATTCATCTTTGGTGGCTTCTCGTGTGTCCAGTACTTCCATTCCTTCAATTGATATGCTCATTAGTTCATTCACATGATCAGGCAGAAGGCGACTTCTTTCAGAACACAAAATTCTATTCAATGATGAAAAAGAATGCTCAGCTGTAGCTGTTGTGACTGGGAGTAGCAAGAGATTCCTACTTCTTTTAGCCCAGGAAACATAACACAAAGATCAGGTCAAGCCACTAGTGATGGTAAAAAAGAAGTTGAAGTCAAATCTTCATTCATTTGTCGAATGATATTCCACTCTGTGTTTAAATTCTCTATTCTGTCCTGAGCACATGGCAGCCCCATTGCTGGTAGTGCCTCACTCCACTCAACTGTCGGTGTTTTATAGGACAGGGATCTGTGAAAGCTACATAGAGGTTGAGTAGAATCTAGAAGTCGCTGTTGTAGGTTTTTAAGACTCAAGTCTGTGTACTTTTTCAGTTGTCTTAACAAACACTTCTTGTCCCCATCACTTAAGGATTCAATATAAATGTCTTCATTAGTCAACTTCTGGACTGAAGTCTTTGCTTCTTCCAGTACTTTTTCAATGCATAACTCTCTGATTGATCCAAATGTAGCTTCTATTTCTGGACAAAGATCTACTACTGTTGTAGCAGATGCCTGGATGCCATTTGTCAAGGTTCCTCCCCCACTCTGAACTCTAGGGTACAGATGTGGGGACCTGCATGAAAACCTCCTAAACTTACTTTTACCAGCTTAGGTTAAAACTTCCCCAAGGTACAAATTAATTTTATCCTTTGTCCCTGGATCTCCACTGCCACCACCAAACTCTAACTGGGTTTACTGGGAAACGTAGTTTGGACACGTCTTTCCCCCCAAAATCCTCCCAACCCTTGCACCCCACTTTTTGGGAAAGGTTTGGTAAAAATCCTCACCAATTTGCATAGCTGACCACAGACCCAAACCCTTGGATCTGAGAACAATGAAAAAGCATTCAGTTTTCTTACAAGAAGACTTTTAATAGAAATAGAAGTAAATAGGAGTAAAGGAATCACCCCTGTAAAATCAGGATGGTAGGTACCTTACAGGGTAATTAGATTCAAAACATAGAGAATCCCTCTAGGCAAAACCTTAAGTTACAAAAAAGACACACAGACAGAAATAGCCATTCTATTCAGCACAATTCTTTTCTCAGCCATTTAAAGAAATCATAATCTAACGCATACCTAGCTAGATTACTTACTAAAAGTTCTAAGACTCCATTCCTGTTCTATCCCCGGCAAAGCAGCATACCAACAGACACAGACCCTTTGTTTCTCTCCCTCCTCCCAGCTTTTGAAAGTATCTTGTCTCCTCATTGGTCATGTGCCAGCGAGATTACCTTTAGCTTCTTAACCCTTTACAGGTGAGAGGATTTTTCCTCTGGCCAGGAGGGATTTTAAAGGGGTTTACCCTTCCCTTTATATTTATGACAGCATTGTTTAATGACCCAGGCGGTTTCAACAGTAGACTTACAAGAGAGAGAATGGCAATAGTCTTCTCTGAACGTAGTAACAAAAGTAATCCACCAGCCTCACTTCTTAGATCTATCCTATCTTGGTAGATACTTTCCAAAGCCAGTAATAATGGCTGGAGTAATTTTAAGACAACAGCCAAGGATCGCTCATGAGAAAGCCAGAGGGTTTTCCCAGGTTGGACTAATTTGAACTTCAGTCCCAGTGTATCTTCTATATTTTCCAAGATATTCAGTCTTTTTGGACTCTTGCTGAAAAAAGAATATAATGAAGACATTAAATTTATAGCTTTGTAAATGTCTTTTGAAGAGTCTGCAGCTCATACTAGCGCTAGTTGGAGTAGATGGCCTCTGCAGTATGTGTAGGAGAGATTAGGGCTACACTTTTCGTTGAGCAAAGCTTGTGCTCCACCATGTCTTCCAGAGAAGTTTGCAGCTCCATCAAATGCACAAGCAGCCCTCTGTTTGGGATCCCATTGACAAGTATTTAACTCTTCTAAGATGTGGGTTGTCACAGATGCAGCCAATCTGTCTTCTGTGACTTGAACATCTAGAAATGCATCCACTGGCCTACCATGACATCAAGATAACGTACACAATGACCTAATACTTGATGACCATTTGCATTGGTGCATTCATCAGCGATGTATGCACATTTTTTGAATGTGGTGGGAGAGTTCTTCACTTTTTCAACTGTTGAGTCTTTCACTGTTGCACTACATGTGTCTAGCCAGTCAGTTGAGTTTCTTGCAGAAAGATAGTGAGCATTTGTGGTCTTGTTCGGAACCAGTGTTCAACTTCAGGATGAACAAGTGACAATGCACTTAACATTGGCCTCCAGTTTGCAGTGTGCGGTATCTCTTGCTTAAACAGAAAGTACGATGCCACGGCCATGTTTGTTCGCATGAACTGTGTTGTGTCTCCAACATTCTCAACAGCCTCATTAACACTCACCGGTGTTGTCCTTGGTCAGTGGAGATTCAGAGTTCAGAGGTGCTTTCGCATGAGTTCATCTCCCAGGTAGGGGGCAAGAAGGCACCTTGCTCGTTCCTCCAGCTGCTCACTGTTTGCTCTGGCCACTGTTGTTCGTTGTGCCACCGTTCACTCCATCGCTCTGTTGCCAATGGCCCTGCGCTGCCACCTTCTGCTGCCACCTGCCACTGTGACCTCTGCGAGTTGGTCTCTTAAGGTTCCACCAGCTCTCAGTGATTTCAGCTGAGCTCTCAGTGCGGGAACCTCGCTGCTAGTGCAGACTGGGCCGTCTCTTCCACAGAAACACTGTCCCACAGCAGGTCTAAGCACTTAGACCAGATCATCAGTGATTTCAGCTGTAGTGATCACTTAACAAAACAAAGACTATGGAGCTCTGTCTTTAAACAGTGGAGAGGGGCAGGTCTAATAGTACTTGTGACTCAGGCAGACCATTAAGCAAAACACCTGTCCCCACCCTCTCTCTCTCTCTCTCTCGATGCCCTCAATCAGCACAGGCTAAGTACAGTTCTACTGCCCTTTACTCATACAATAAGAACAACATTTCATTACACCTCCCCCCGCCCCCACCCCCCGCATTCAAGTGATTTGTAACCCAACCCCAGCCAAAATCTATCACTTGGGCAACTCAGCTCTGTTTGCTGGATACCTAGGTAGATTAGGTGTGAATGTAAATACAATCTGGTCCTGAAGCCTTTCCCCCCAGCCCCGAGGTCATCACTAGCTGTCAGGGAGAGCTCATTTAGACTTTGCTTACAAATCATAATTTGAAATTATTAGGTTGGCCAACATCACCAAAATGAATGCACTGACATTGTCATAAACAGCTGTACAAGGAAGCTAGTCGTTGTTCATACTTTTCAAATCTATGATACTTTTTCAGATACACGTATTTTATCCTACACTGTATATGCTTTTAAAGTGTGTATTCATGTTTCAATTTCAATTCAAATTTCCAAACAATCACTAAATTGGCAACACTGCATGTAAGTAGTTCACAAAACTTGTGATTTCATCAGAAAATGATGACTAGTTTGTTTGACCAGATCTATTATCCATAAAGACATGTTGACTGGTATTAAAATAGAGGGAAGATATGAGAACTTATTTAGCACAGAATCAAGATGTTGAGAACAAAATTAGTCAAGGATCAAAGAATATGAAGAGAAGACATTCTTAGATTACCTAAATACCAGTGCTAGGAATCTGGGTAACTAACAAGAAGAATTGGAATTGCTCATTTATGAACATAAATTTGATTTTGTTGGTATTGCTCAAACCTACTGGGATAATTCCCATGATTGGAATGTGAAAAGCAAAATAGGCAAAAGGGGAGGGTGAGTGGCCCTCTATGTCAAAAATGAGATTACCTATTTCCAAGTCACTGATAACTCAGAAGGAAATTATTTTGAATATGTATGGATCAATGTCCTAATAGATAAAGCACAAGATGGCATATTAGTTGGTGTCTGCTACAGACCACTAAATGACTAGGGAACAGAATGACCATCTCTTTACCCACCTATCTTCAATATGTAGGAAGAAAAGCCAAGTGATCATGCAGACTTCAGTTTGAGTGAAATATGCTGGAGGTCTCATGCTGTCAGTACTAAAACACCTTTGGAATTTCTAAACATTATACATGCCAGGTTCCTAACTCAAAAAGTGTTGCAGCCAACATGGGGGAATTCTTTATTTGACCTTGTCTTGACAGGTAAAGAGGAACTGATCACAGAACTGAAAATTAACGGTACTTTAGACGAGTGATCATGACTTGATCACATTTATATTGTGCAAGCAGAATAAAGTCCAAACAAGTAATATATATATACCTGGTGCTTTAAAAGGGCCAATTTCACAACACTGATGAAACAATTATGAGCCAAACCAGTTGGGAGAAATTTAAATGTAACCAGAAAAAGGTGAATGCTTATTGGAAATTGTTTAAAACCACCTTACTAGAGACCCAAAAATCCACAATCCCATCACTGAAGAAGGCCATACTGGTTAAAAAACTGACATAGTTTAGAAGGGTAATGAAGGCAGCTAAAAAAATAATATAGATAGATAAATAAATGGAAGAAAGGGGAAGTTGATGGTAATAAATATAAATCAGAAGCTAGGAAATGTAGAAAATTGATAAGGGAAGCCAAGAGACAAAAGGAAAAATCTATGGCCAGAAGAGTTAAGGACAATAAGAAAGTGGTTGTTTTAAAACAATACTCGGAACAAAAAGAATCCTGACAATGATATTGGTCCATTACTAGATGGAAATGGTAGAATTATCAATAATAATGCAGAAAAGGCTGAGGTGTTCAATAAATATTTCTGTTTTGTATCTGGGGGAAAACATGATATAGTCTCATTATGTGGTGGTGAGAATACTCTTTCCATTCCAGTAGAATCAAAGGGACACAAGGTAAAATCTATGGTCAGCAGAATTAAGGATAATGAGGAGTTTTTAAAGTATATCAGGAACAAAAAGAATCCCGACAATGGTATTGGTCCATTACCACGTGGAAATGCAGCAATATTGATAATAATGCAGAAAAGGCCGAAGTGTTCAAGAGATATTTCTGTTCTGTATTTGGGAAAAAACAGATGTGATAGGTCTAACATAGATGATTATGATGATGATAACACTCTTTCCAATCCACTCTTATTTGAGGAGGATGTCAAACAGCACCACTAAAGTTAGACATTTTTAAATTAGCAGGTCCAGATAACTTGTATCTGTAGTTTGAAAAGAGCTGGCTGAGGCACTCGTTGAACAACTAATGTTGATTTTCAGTAAGTCTTGGAATACCGGGGAAGTGCAAGAAGACTGGAAGAATGCTCATTCTGTGCCCATATTTTAAAAGGTTAAACAGGATGATTCCCATAATGATAGGCCTGTCAGCCTTGACATTGATCCTGGGCAAGATAATGGAGTAGCTGAAACGAGACTTGATGAATGAAGAATTAAAGGAGGGTGATGTAATTAATGCCAGTCGCCATGGGCTTATGGAAAATAGATCCTGTCAAACTAACTTGATATCTTTTTTTTTTTTTTTTTTTTTTTTGCTGAGATTACAAGTTTGGTAATAGTGTTGATGCAATATAATTAGACCTTTTTAAGGCATTTGACTTGGTACCACATGACACTTTGATTAAAAAACCTAGAAAGAAAAAATTAATATGGTACTCATTAAATGGATTAAAAGCTGGCTAACTGTTAGGTCTCAATGTAAATGTAAATAGAGAATGACATGGAAGTGAACATAAAATTATCGCTGATAAAGTTGGCAGATGATACAAAAATTGGGGGAGTGGTAAATAGCAAAGAGGACAGGTCACTAATACAAGATCGATCTGGATTGCTTGGTAAACTGGACACAAGCAAACAATTTGTGTTTTAATGTGGCCAGATGTAAATGAATACATCTAGGAATAAAGAATGTAGGCCACACTTACAGCATGGAAGACTCTATCCTGGGAAACAGGGACTCTGAAAAAGATCTGGGAGGTGTGGTGGATAATCCGCTGAACATGAGCTCCCAGTGCGACACTGTGGCCAAAAGGGCTAATGTCATCCCGGGATGCATAAACAGAGGAACCTTGAGTAGGAAAAAAGAGACTATTTTACCTTTGTCTTTGTCACTGGTGTGACTACTGCTACAATACCGGTTCTGGTGTCCACAATTCAAGAACAATTTTGATAAATTGGAGAGAATTCAGAGAAGATTCATGACACTTGTTAAAAGATTAGAAAACTCACCCTATATTGAGAGACTCAAGGAGCTCAGTCTATTTAGCTTATCAAAGAGAAGGTTAAGGGATGACTTGATCACAATCTATAAGTACCTACACGGGAACAAATGTTTAATAATGGGCTCATCAATCTAGCACAGAAAGGTCTAACACCATCCAATGGCTGGAAGTTGAAGCTAGACAAATTTAGACTGAAAATAAGCTGTACATTTTTAACAATGACAGTAATTAATCTTTGGAACAACTTACCAAGGGTCGTGGTGGATTCTCCATCATTAACATGTTTTAACTCAAGACGGGATGTTTTTCTAAGAGATCTGCTCTAGGGATTATTTTGGGGAAGTTCTCTGGAACTGTGCTGTACCGGAGGTCAGACTCGATGAGCTCTGGTCCCTTCTGCCCTTGGAATCTGTGAATCTATGAATTAATTATGCTGCCACCCTTAACTTTTTTACTGAGTGCATCCCATGTCAACCTCGCCGTGATTTTGCCTAAAGTCTGTGTCACGCTAACCAGCTGATAGGTACCTGAACCAGTGTTGGAGTCCTAAAAATACAAGTGCTGGAACACAAGTCAGTGGGAGGCCCCGATAGGGAGCAGAAGATGGATGGTAGTGGGGGAGCTGGGCAGAGCAGGGGATAAGGACAGTGCAGGGTGCTGGGAGAAGCCCAAGGGAGCAGGGTGACTCCTCACAGAGCCCATCCTGTCCCGCATCCCCCCTACCTTTGCGGGGCTCCTGATCCCTGTGAGGGGTTCTGCTGTCCAGGTGTCCCCACTACCCAGCTCCCGATATTGGTCAGCACCACAGTGAACTGCCAGGTCCTGGCTGCAGCGTCCTGGCTCCCTCTGTGTTGACCTGCCACCGAGCAGTCTCCACGTGGGCCTGGCACCCACACCTGACAGCTTGGAGGATGCTCTGCAGCCATGGAGGGAAAGGACCAGGTCCAGCAGAAGTATCACAATGCTGTTTGGAATCTTAAGGAAGTGCCAGGACAGCGTTCCGGCATGGCTCAATGCTAACCGGAGCAGGATCTTATATTGCTGAGGCCAAGTCATCACCTGCCAGGTTGGGAAGGAGTCTCCTTACCAGCCACGAATGGTAGAAAGTGTCACCCACGGATGCTGCTGTGAGAGCTTAGTGATAGCAAGGCACCCTGGAGCCTTCTGCACTGCAGACTGCCCTGACCAACTGGGGGTCTTTTTCTCCAACCAGAGGAGATGGCAGGCTCCTGTAGGAATATTCCTCAGCCATTCAGCATGACCTCCCTCCTCCTTGGGGCTAACTTCAACCAGCTGCTGCCATTGGGCCAGGTTGGGGACAGGATGTGATCATGTGTGGTGAGGGACAAGTAGAGTGTCAGTGGCATATTGCTGGCACTGAGCCCTTGTCATCTCACTGGAGGGGGAGAAGTGATCCTCATGCTCCCGGGAGTTCCTGCAGCCACATCACTTGGCCAACTTGCTGTCTGGTTCTTCCCCTGCAGGGTGTTCTGGCTGGCCGTTCTGGTTGGTCTGGTCACATGGCTGGTTCTGGACACCTCCAAAAGGCCAGAGCAACTGATTTCATTTGCTGGCCTCTGCGCATTTGTTCTGTTCCTCTTTGCCTGCTCCAAACACCATGCTGCAGTAAGTGGATGTGTTTCCTTTGGGTTCTGCACTTCCATGCAGAAAGGACTGGCTTGGGCCAATGCTGCAGATGCTGCTTCTCCATGGGAAGGTCTCCCTGACCAGCTCAGCTCTGGCTTGTCCTAGGGGCTGAAGGCAGAGGTTGTCTCTGGGAGCATGCACCCTCTTGTACTGTTTGCATTTGTTATCTCCTGGTGCCCCACAGAAGAAGCCTCTGGGGCACCAGCGGAAAAGGGGGAGGGCGCCCAGTCAGCGGAGCTCACTGGTAGAGATCAGAGCAGCAGCATGGCCAGAGAACAGAGCATAGGCCACCCACTCCTGAGCCCAGATTCTGGCTCTCCGGGTGACACGCCTCTGAGCTTGGGCAATAAATTCCCCATCGCCCTCCACCCGCAGTGGGGACAGAAATACTGACCTCAGGCCAGAGTTACAAGGGAGTCAGGCACCCTTAGATGCAGATAGGCACCTAGTGGGGTTTACAAAGCACCTAAGTGAGTTCAGCCCCCAACTCCTATTGACTTTTAACCTCACCTGTTTAGGTAATCTTGAAAATCCTACTGCAACATTCCTAGCTGCAACATTAGGTGCCTAAATACCTTTGTAATTCTGCCCCCCCCAACCTGTCTCTTGTTCAGTAGGGTCAGGCTCTGATCTGGGTCACAGTGGTGCAGGGCCATTGACAGGAAAGCTCCTCTGAGAGTGAGCCTGGCATGTGTGCAAAGGGTGATGTGTCCTTACATGGAGGAATTGTTCCCCTGACACCCAATCCCTGATTTGCATCATCTCGTTGCCTGTCTCCCTGGTCCCTTCCTCTGCTCTCTCTCTGTCTGCCCCTTGGTTTCCTCCCATTCCACCTCCTTAGCCCGCTTTTTCAGAGTGCACTATTGCCCATGGGATAGCCCTGCGGGGGCCTGGTCAGCCAAACAGAGGTGGGAGCTCACTCTGGACTGGAGGGACTCCTTCAGAGAAGAGGGGAAAGTGCATCTTGCAAGAGGCTCCCTCAGCCCAGCATGGTGGGGTCAATGCTCACATCCCTCACCTGGTCCTACCTGCTGTCTGTCTAGGGGTTTCTATGGCACCCATCACCATGGCAGCTAAGTGCCTGCTGACTCCTCCCTTGAAATGACAGTGGGGCTTGGAGTCTGATATGACTAACAGAGGCTAGAGTGGAAAGATGATGGGACTTAAAACATAGGGCACTGCTTTGGTCTTGGTCCCAGGTGCCCTGGAGAGCTGTCTTCTGGGGCCTTGGCTTGGAGTTTGTTCTTGGCATCTTTATAATCAGAACGGATCCTGGATTCGAAGCATTCCAGTGGCTTGGCAATCAGATCCAGGTACTGAGAGCTCTGCTGCCAGATGGTGGGGGAGGTTTGAGGTGGAGCGGGGAGAGGGCATGGAGGTGAGGTAGGATGGGTGTGTTTGGAGTCGATGGAGATGCGTGTGGAGGTGGGAATGGGGTGGGTGGGGATGGGGGTGAGGCTGGGGTGAGGTTGCGTATGGAGGTGGGGAGGGAAAGGGAGGGGTGGAAGATCAAGGTAAGGCTGGGGCTGGAGTGGAGGATGGGGGTGGGGTGGAGGTGGGGCCAGGTGAGCAGGCATGGGGCTAGGTTCTAACTATTCTTTATTGCTCAGGAGATGGAAGCTTAAGCTGGTGTTGGCCAATAGCCTGAAGGGAGCTGGCGAGGCCGTCACATGGACCTGGCGTGACTAGTTGTTCCTTTAACTGTAGCAGGAAGCCGGGCAAGGAGTGGGCCTGGCTCTGGGCAGGAGTGGTGCAGAGAAGCAGAGGGAGGCTGAACAGTTCTAGGGCTAGGACTAGTAAAGTTCCTTGTTCAGTGTTAGCAGAAAGCGGCTCCCTCTGTCCTGGGGTCCCACGGGCGCTGGCCCTTCTCTCATGTTGTTCCCATAAGCTTGTCAGTAAGTGGGGGCTCCCCAACTCCCGTGGCCCTCATTGTCCTGGCACCCAGGAGGCAGCCTCCCACCCTGTTCCCTTTATCTGGGCCTGACTCCTTGCCACAGAGACCCCAACTCCGACACTGCCATGAAGTCCCTGGTGGCTGCTGGAGCCCTTGCCTCCAGATCATTTGTCAGGCCACTGACACCTCCCTTACACTCCTGGCTCTCCTCCAGTTCCCCCTCCTCCACTCTGTCCAGGGCAGAGGCTCTAGAGGCTTCCCCATGCCATGCAGTGCACACTGGGGCAGGATGGATTGTTGCTGTGATCCCCAGGCAGGGCTAGAGCACTGTGTGGGGGAGGGGGCTTGCGGGGTTTCCCTGTGACGGTCACGGCTGAGGAGGCCTTGTGGCATATTCTCCTGGGCATTGCTCCCCAACATGTACCATCTCCCCACACAGACCTTCCTGAGTTACACCACTGCTGGCTCCAGCTTCGTCTTTGGGGACACACTGATCAAGGAGGCCTTTGCCTTTCAGGTCAGCACGTGGGTCGTGGGGAGGACAGTGGGTGTTAGGAACTAGATTTCCTCTGGCCTGGATCACCCTGCCAGGCCTACGGGGAGAGGCCATTGGCACCGCCCAGGGGAGGGGAGCATTAGGTGCAGAGCAGCCCTGGCTCTCATTCTGCCATTCTGTGCCTGCAGTGAGAGCTGGTGCTGTGAGATCCCCCTTCTACCTGGCATGCAGCCCTAGCACTGCTGGACCTCCGGGCTCATGGGCCATCCTGTGGACTATTCTGTGCTCTGCGATTCTGCGCCACGCCATGCCCAGCTGCAGGCACTGGGGCGAGATGTGGGGCTTCAGCCTATGCTCTGCCACGGGCTCCCAGCAAGCCCTGCTGGGCCCCTGTGCTGACCCTGTGTGCTGGTGTTCTGCCCACAGGCTTTACCAATTGTCGTGTTCTTCAGCTGTGTGATGTCCATTCTCTACTACGTTGGCCTCATGCAGTGGCTCATCCTGAAGGTAAGACCAAGCCCTGGGTCTCAGGGGATTGCAGCTCTGGTAAAAGGGGGGATTGATGGTAGGGCCTGCTCCTCCCACCTGTTGCATGAGGCTGTACAGGTCTTGGTGCCCCAGTGTTCATGTCACTAACCAGCCTGTCCCCCTGTTCCCCCTTGAAATAACCTAGACTTTGGCGGGTGGAGCCCCTGCCAGGGCTACGTCTGAGAGGGTACCTGGTTTAGCCAGCTTGCTAGGAGCCCCAGCTCGCCGTGCGGCGCCCACCCATGTCCCAGGAGCTCCTGGCACTGGCAGGCTGGGGCAGCAGGACTCCTTATGAAAGGGGAACACGTGGCTGGAAGCTTTGTATTAACATAGGACTCAGCCCCAGAGAGGCTGCCCCCGAGCTCTCGGGAGCTCCTGTGGGGCTGTGCAAAGCCCTGGTACCAGAGCACTCATTCCTGTATCTCTGCCTCAGCCACACGTCTTGGATCTGGGCCCACAGGCGGGCAGGGTCTGGCCACGAGGGGCAAAGCCTTTGTGAAATGTCCTGGATTTGTCCTGGGGCTGAGCCCTGCCTGCTTCCCTGCAGATCTCCTGGCTGCTGCAAATCACTATGGGTACTACGCCCACTGAGACCCTCAGCGTGGCAGGAAACATCTTTGTAGGACAGGTAAGAGCTGCTGGGAAGCAACTCAGCATCCCTCAGGCAGGGCAGCACCAGGACATGACCACCAAACACCTCACACCCCCCCGCAAGGGGCAGAGTGCCCCCTCCCTCCCTGCCTGTGGCCTCTAGGTCCCTCCCAGTCCCTTTGGAGATGCATGTCTCAGCCCCATGATGGAAGCCAGGCCCCATGTCCCATTTCCCCTGTCAGAGGGCAGGCTCCTGGGAGGCCCTGCTGCAGTGTGTGCTATGGACCACTCTAGCCTGCTCACGGCTCCAGAGGATGCGCTCAGACATCCCCCAGATCCCTGGGGAAACATGAGCCCCTGGGGTAACACTGTGGGGTGAACCCCCTCTGCCCAGGGCACAGCTGGCCAGGGAAGCATCTCTTGTTCTGCAAATCAGCTGGAGCTTCATTGCCTTTTCCTGTGGTGCAGACAGAGGCCCCACTGCTGGTCCTCCCCTACCTGGCAGACATGACGCTCTCAGAAGTTCATGCAGTGATGACCGGGGGCTTCGCCACCATTGCCGGCAGCGTGATGGGAGCCTACATGTCCTTTGGGGTGAGTGCAGCAGTCAGCACCCAGACTCCCCTGCCTCAGTGCAGGCAGCGATATCTGAGCAGGGCTGCCACCCGGACAGACCGGTTTTTGGCTTCTGTGTCCGGGCACCATTTAGAGTGGCCAGGTGCCTGGTAAATGGCACCTGAACCAAAAGTCCGGTTACCATGGGGCGGAGAGAGGCGCTGGATCATCCTGCACCAGCCCCTGCTCAGCTGCAGCCACCTCCTACCGGCAGGCAGGCTCCTTGAGACAATCCAGCGAGCAATGGGGGCGGGGCCTTGGAGGCAAGAGGTGGAGAAGTCGGCGGGGTCTGGGGAAGAAGCAGAGAAGGAGCGAGGCCTTGGGGGAAGAGGTGGGGCAGGGGTGGGGCCTTCGGAGTAAGGTTACCAGCAATTAGAAAGGTGGCAATGCAATATCTGGGCCTAGGCTTCTCGCAGCATATATGCCATAGGGTCTGTGCTGGGGTCTTAGCACATAGGGGGACTGGCAAAAGAATTGCCACGGGGAGGCAAAGGGGCTGGGGGGCAGGTAGGAGACAGACCTGCCCTCAGCCAGATGTAAAGTTCCCCAGGATGACTAAACGGCACCCGAACGGCACCCATCCACAGCCCTGCCTGCCCTGCCATGACAGCCAGCAAGCCCATCCCATGGGGGCAGTCCATGGATTTCTTTGGCTTCTCTCAGTGTGGGCTCAGCCCTGAGGATGGGACGGAGGCTGCACTGAGCAAGGCCAAGGTGGCATAGAGTCTGAGGCCAGCCCATCTAGGCTGTCCGCTATCACAGGCCACTTCCTTGTGAAACTCAGCAACCGGAATTAGACCAAAGTATTACAGCCTTCAAGGGTACATTTACCCTGCAATTAGACCCCCGCGGCAAGCCCGTGCCAGCTGACTCAGGCTTGCGGGGCTGGTTAATGGCGGTGTAGGCGTCTGGCTTCAGGCTGAAGCCTGGGTTCTAGGACCCTGAGGGTGGCAGAGCCTGATGTGTGCACTGCAATTACATAGCCCATTAGCTGAAGCCCTGGAAGCCCAAAGCCAGCCCCGGGTCTCTCATTACAGTGTAGACATACCCCAAAAGACTAAACTATTGAGTGCCACAGTCTGTGTCTGTGCTGGCAGGTATGGTGCAGAGCTCGCTCCCCTTGCTCTGACCTGTGTGGGCAGAATATCTGATCTCTGTGTTTGGGAACTGCATGTGCCAGGGCTAGGAGACTGTGTCACCTGGATTCCTGTAGTGTAGATGGGCCCTGGAGACGCACAGCTAGGGTCAGAGCTCAGATCTAGGGGGCTCACCCAAGCCCGGCTCTAACCAAGAGCCACGCTAGCCAGGTCCCCGCTTGAAGCTGACTGGAGATCCAGAATGGGGTCTCTTGGATGCCCAACTTGAAGCCTGTAAGCACCAGCTGCTGCCATTCTTGTCCTGGGAGCAGCTGATCTGAGGCTGGGGGTGGGACATGTGCAGTCATGCCCTAGGAATGGGCTGAGCAATTGGGCACACAGTGTGTGGTGGAATCACCTAGCCGACAGCTCCCTTCCTAGTCATGCTGAGAACCAGAGGTGTCCATGGTTCTCCTGTCACTGCTCGCCTGCCGCTCACACCAGGGTCCCTGCAGTATTAGTGTGCTCCACGCCCTCTGAGCTGGGGGCACATGCATCCTGCTGGCAGGCACTCCTGCACACACTTCACCAGGGCTGACCACTGGGAATGTCCCCGCCGTGTGTGCTGCAGATTGACCCCTCCTCGCTGATCGCTGCCTCTGTGATGGCTGCGCCCTGTGCTCTCGCCATGGCCAAGCTGGTCTATCCAGAAGTGGAAGAGTCCAAATTCAAGAGCAAGGAAGGCGTGAAGCTCAGTAGAGGGTGAGTGATGCGGTGCTCGGGGCAGGGGGTGCTAACACCTAGTTGGCTCAGGCGAGACTCCCTTGCTCTAGGGGCAGGTGGCAACAAGGTGACTCACAGTTCTGGGTGCCCTGAGAAGTGTCACAGCCCCACAATGCACTGCCTGACCCTGTCCCGCCCCCAGCCTGACCTTGCCCCCAGCCCTTCCCTGTCCTGCCCCGCCCCACACTGCCCTTCCCTGCTCTGCCTGGCCCTGCCCCACCTAGCCTGGCTCTGCCACACCCTGCCTTTCTCTGCCCTGACCCACCCCACCCTTCCCTGTGCTCCCTGCCCCTCCGGCCCTGACCCACCCCTCTATTCCCTGCTCAGCCTGGACCTGCCCTTCACTGCACTGCCTTGTCCTGCTCTGCCCAACCCTTCCCTGTGCTGCCTACCCTGCCCCATATTGCCTGCCCCACTCTGCGCTGCTTGCCATATCCTGAACCCGGCCATGCCCTACTTTGCCTTGCCCCGAACCTGCCCTACACTGGCACAACTGTCCTTGACCAACCCGGCCAGCCTGGCTCCCCGCATCTTGCAGACATGCCACTCCCATGCTGTGCTTAGCCCTGCCTCAAGCCCTGCAGCATGTCTCCCGAACAATGCTCCCTCCCAACACACCGGATAACCACCTCATCTGCCCCTTCATCCTGCACTGTGCCGTGAACACTGGGTTCCGACTCAAACATTCTCCTCTGGGCTACAACAGCCCTGCCTTCACCCTGCAGGTTGACAATCGATGCACCCCAGCCCCCAAGTCCTTTTAAAGTGTCCCCCTGTGGTGTCCAGCCCCTGATCGCTGGATACCCACAGAAATCCCAGAGCCTCTGGTCCCAAAGGAGCAGTGTCCCCTAGTGAGCCTACCAGTCCTATACCACACACAGCACTTGAGGAAAATTATAGTAAAAAAAAGGAAATGGATCTAAGAGAGAATAGAGATTCAAACAGAAACAAGTGTGAGTGATGGAAACTAGTGGTTACAAACAACAAAATCATAATTGCGACCTTGGGCCTACACTTGCAATGAGTTCCCATCCCTAGGTTCTCACCCCAAAGTTCGGTCTTCTGCAGCACTTGCTGGCCCCAAGGAGGCAGGGCTCAGTACAGGAAGCATCCCGCTCATCAAGGTACTGCCTCAGTGAATGGATGCAGTCTTTCCCCACCCTGTAATACACTGACTCAGTCCTTTGTCTCTGTTCCCAGACAGGCCCAGCCCCTCGCTACCCTGTCGTTCCTGGTCACTGCCTTGTGGTTGCGAGGTTTATAGTTTGATGGTTTTCCATTGACTTGTCTGGGTTGTTTCAGCAGTGCATAGCTGAGACATAAACAAGCTGATGTAATCAGCTCGCCAGGGAGAGGCCATCTCAAGAAATATGAGTCCTTCGTGACTCTCTTTCACTGCAAGACTATAGGGATGTAATTTTCAGTATAGTTACATTAGTCCTTCTCTATTACCTGTCCATGCATCTCATAGTGATCCAGAGTGCCGAGAAGTGACCTCACATGCTGCTCTTTATGGATCAGTCCCATGATAACAGTGTATTATTAGGTTTCGGAGTAGCAGTCGTGTTAGTCTGTATTCGCAAGAAGAAAAGGAGGACTTGTGGCACCTTAGAGACTAACAAATTTGAGCATGAGCTTTCGTGAGCTACAGCTCACTTCATCGGATGCGTTCAGTGGAAATCCACTGAATGTATCCGATGAAGTGAGCTGTAGCTCACGAAAGCTTATGCTCAAATAAATTAATCTCTAAGGTGCCACAAGTCCTCCTTTTCTTTTAGTGAATTATTAGGTATAGTGAGTTTATCAGGTCTGACATGAGCTGCTTTTGAAGCACAGTGAGCTCTCTGCCAATTGGCACCACAGGGGTCCCTCGCACTGACCGCTCTCCTTGTACCACCAGGGCTGAGCAGAATATCCTGGAAGCTGCCAGCAATGGTGCCGCCGCCTCCGTGGGGCTGGTCGCTAACATTGCAGCCAACCTGATCGCCTTCCTGGCTGTGCTGAAGTTCATCAATGCTGCCCTGTCCTGGTTCGGGGAGCTGGTGAACATCAAGGAGCTCTCGTTCCAGGTACTGCCACGCCAAGCACCTGGAGGCAGCCCCACACTCGCAGGGACTCACCCCATTCTGCGATCCTCATTCCGCCCTCTCCCTTGCCCACTGCAGTGCTTCCCCTGCACCACAGCCACCATGCCCCTTTCTCCCATGGCCTTCACCTTCTCCTGAAAGCACCCCGCCCGCACTCTGCATGCCGCCCCCCCCCAGCTCAAAGCAGAGCAAGAAGCTGCCCCTCCTCCCGCCTAAGGTTGCCAACTTTCTAATTGCACAAAACCGAACACCCTTGCCCTGCCCCTTCTCTGAGGCTCCACCCACGCTCACTCCACCCTCCCCCCATCACTTGCTCTCCCCCACCCTCACTCACTCATTTTTACGGGGCTGGGGCAAAGAGTTGGGGTGCAGGAGGGGTTTGGGCTCCAGGGTGGGGCCAGAAATGAGGGCTTCAGGGTGCAGGAAGAGGCTCCAGACTGGGGCATGGGTGAGGTCTCTGGAGTGGGGCTGGACATGAGGGGTTTGTGGTGCAGGAGGGGGCTCCAGAATGGGGGGTTTGGAGTGTGGGAAGGGGCTCTGGGCTGAGGCAGGGGTTAGGGGTATGGGGTCTGGGCTGGGGGTGCTGGTTCGGGGATAGGGCCACTCAGCCTGCCACCTCTGTACTAAGGACTCACATTTCCACCTCCTCTCCAGCCTGGCTCCCCCAGACCCACATCTGGGCCCATCTCCCAAGCCCCTCCTGCTGCCTCAATCCTGAGCTCCTGGCTGAGAATGTCTGCCGGGGGGAGGGGGGGGGGGACACTTTGTACTGTGTCCAGTATCTCCCTTCTCCCACCCAGTCCATCTGCCCGAGCCCAGATCAGAGGCTCTGTCCTTTGAAAACCTGCATACCCCACAAGAATGGCCCACTCCCCCCAGACACATGCCCCAACCCAGCCTCCTGGCAGTGCCAGATCTCACTGCACTGTGACCTCCACATAGCCAGACAGCTCCCATCCAGTGAGCTGGAGCTTGTCTTATGCCACATGCAGCTGCTGGACATGGGATGGCCCTGCCTCCCCACTCTCCAGGGAGGGTCTGAGTCCTGCTAGTGCCAGGCAGCCTGAGAGCACCTACCATCTTGTCCACCCTGCCCATTTCAAAACAGGGCTCAGAACAGCTCCAGGCCCAGCAGAAAAGGTGCCCGATTTGTGACAGCTGTGTTCTCCCACTGGGGGCAAATTGCCCCAGGTCAGCTGTTGCGGGGCTCTGGCCAAAGAGGCAGAGCAGGGTGCAGAGCCTTCCCCAGTCCTGCCTAGGGTTGCCAACTTTCTAATTGCAGAAAACCAAACACCCTTGCCCCGCCCCTGCCATGCCCCTTCCCCGAGGCCCCACCCTTGCTCCCCCCTTCTTCAAGGCCCCACTTTTGCTTACTTTCGTCGGGCTGGGGGAGGGGTATGGGTTGTGGAAGGGGATGAAGGCTCCAGCTGGGGGGTGCAGGCTCTGGGGTGGGGCTGGGGATGCGGGGTTTGGGGTGCAGAAGGGGACTCCAGGCTGGGGGGTGGGGATGGGGCTGAGGGGTTTGGAGTGTGTGCGGGGGCTCTGGGCTGATGCAGGAGGTTGGGGTGTGGGAGGGGGCACAGGCTCGGGGCTGGGGGTATGGGCTCCAGGGTGGGGCCTGAAATTAAGGGTTCAGGGTTTGGAAGGGGGCTCTGGGCTGGGGCAGGGGGTTGGGATACAGAGTGCAGGAGGGGCTCAGGGCTGGGGTAGGGGGTTGGGTCACAGGAGGGGTGTTGGCTCCAGGCGGCGCTTACCTCAGACGGCTCCTGGGAAGTGGCCACATGTATCTTTGCCTCTTTGGCTCCTAGGTGGAGGCACAGCCAGGAGGCTCTGTGTGCCCACAAATGCTGCCCCCACAGCTCCCATTGAATGCCACATAGAATCATAGGCCACGGAATCTCACCCACCCACTCCTGTAACAAACCCCTAACTTATGTCTGAGCTATTGAAGTCCTCAAATTGTGATTTAAAGACTTCAAAGTGCAGAGAATCCTCCAGCAAGTGAACTGTGCCCCACACTGCAGAGGAAGGCGAAAAACCCCCAGGGCCTCTGCCAATCTGCCCTGGAAGAAAATTCCTTCCCGACCCCAAATATGGCAATCAGCTAAACCCTGAGCATGTGAGCAAGACTCACCAGCCAGAAACCCAGGAAAGAATTCTCTGTAGTAACTCAGATCCCACCCCATTGGCTGCAGTTCCTGGTGGCGCTCGGGGCAGGGGCAGTGTGCAGAGCCCTCCCGGTCGTGCCTCCGCCTAGGAGCCGGAGAGACATGTGGCTGCTTCACAGGAGCCAGGTACAGAGCCTGCCTATGCCACCAACCGTACTTTTAATGGCTTGGTCAGCGGTGCTGACCGGAGCCACCAAAGTCCCTATTCAACCAGGTGTTCTGGTTGTAAACTGGACGGACACCTGGCAAGCCTAGTCCTGCCATGTGAGCACAGAGAGGCTGTTACCCCCTAAGCTATGAGTTGCCTAAGATAGAGCCAAAGAGGGGTGATGCTTTCTCCTGCCCCCATTAGGAGTCTGCTACAGCACAGCACCACCAGGAGCCCAGTGCAGGCTGGTGCTGGGCAGGAGGGTGGTATGCAATGGAGCAGCTGGGGGCGGGTTGTGGGTCAAACACACATCATTGTTAACCATCTCTGGGGGGCTATGTCCCAGATAATCTGCTCCTACATCCTGATGCCTGTGGCCTTCCTCATGGGGGCAGACTGGGCAGACTCACCTCTGGTGGCTGAGCTGCTAGGTATCAAAATCTTCCTGAACGAGTTTGTGGCATATGAGCAGCTGGCAACGTACAAGAAGAACCGGCTGTCGGGGCTGGAGGAGTGGAGTGGGGGTCGCAAGCAGTGGATTTCGGTGAGAGCCATGAGCTGCCACACTGGGGAATGGGCTGAGCAACTCGGGGGGACTCTGTGTCTGGGCAGAGGGAAATAACAATCTGCCAAGCATCTCAGACTTCCTTGCCCAGACAGGGCTAGCCTGGCCCTGCATCAGGCTTGAGGCAGAAAGAGAGCCATGGCTGCCCGGCGAGGGCTGCAGGCTCCCTGGGAGTGCCAGCTGCCAGCAAGCAGGGACAGGTGTCTCTGATTGCTCCCAACACGAATCCCCACACTCCGTCTCGGCAGGTCCAGGGGCCACACAGACAGCGCAAAGGCTGTCCCCGCACTCACTGAGCTGCACTTGCCTTGGCAGACAGGTCAGGGCCTGAAATGCCAGGGAGAGCAAGCCCCTGGCCCAGGGTGGGTGCTGCCATGCACTGTGCTGTTCCTCTGTGCTCCAAGGAGAGGGAAGGGCCATTCAGCACCATGGGATTGCCCAGGGTCAGCTCCGGGGCCTTGGCTTTTCTGTGCTATTGCCCTGTGAGGGGCTGTTGACTGGCGCACACAGGCTGAGGCCAGCAGGATCAGTGTGGGGGGGATCACTGGGGGTGGCTCCCCTGGGGACACATCTCCACTGTGCCTCTGACCTGCTGTTGTGCTGTTTAGATGCGAGCTGAAACCATCACGACCTTTGCCCTCTGTGGATTCGCCAATCTCAGCTCCATTGGGATCATGCTGGGAGGACTGAGTGAGTTTGGAGCACGATGGGACGGGGAATTGAGAGCAGGGGTGAAGCCTGCAGTGGTATTGCTGGGGGAAGATCCCCTGACCGAGATCAGAGCCCCATTGTGCCAGGTGCTGCACAGACCCCGACTGAGATTGGGGGGCCCTGTCTTTCTGGTGCGGCAGAGATACAGTGAGTTCCTACCTCAAAGAGCTCACAATCTGCATGGACAAGACAGACTGGTGGGAGGAGAAAGAGATGCCAAGAGGGGCAGTGGCTGGCCTAAGGTCACCCAGCTGCAGAGCTGGAATTTACCAAAGTCTCCTGATGCCCTGTGCCCAGGCCCCATTCCTCCCCTTTGTGATTATACTGGACTGTGCCTTTCCGTCCTGCTGGGGGAACTCTGCACCCCAGCCCAGTGGGGGTGAGGGTGGAAAGGGCAAGGTTTAGATTGTTGAGCACCAAGTAATTGTATCCTAAAATTACTAAAACCATCTAACTGAGAGAAGCAAGAAATGGGAGGCCAGCCCTTTCCCATTGTTCTCACGGCCAATCCAGGGCTCTGACTCCTACAACCTAATCCCGGGGACTCTTTTACATATTTCGATGATACCACAGTTAAAACAAAGCACAAATATCCCACTTGTTAACCAGGGTCATTCTATTATTAAAGAAAGGAAAAGAAAACATTAAACAGTGCAAACCAGAACACAAAGGATAATGCTAGTGCCTGCTACGCACTCCAGACACGCTCCAGCTTGGAGGAGACAGGAGATACTGGGTCTCCGGGTCTGTGGGGAGAAGAGGCTGTGCAGGCATAGCTACAGAAATGATCGACACCTACGAGCATCCTTGGCGGACACCCCACCACCACCCACAACAGCACCATGGATACCTCTGAGGAGCCTGAGTTACAGGCCCCTGCTGTGAACAGTGAGGACAGGAGGTGGTGGATGAAGAAGAGGAGGAGGAGGAGTATGGGGGACAGGCGGCTGGGAGATCCAACTGCACAGCAAGCCAGGACCTGATTTGACTCCACTACAGTCCAACCAGTCCCACCAGTCGAGCATGGGCAAGTCCAATGCAGGAGAAGGAACCACAGGTAAGAACCCCATGTAGATAAATTTTCAATTACAGGGATGCCTCCCAAAATAGCAGGACACCATCTTTTGTCTTTTCATTAATTTACTTGTACTAGAAGAGGCCATGGTACAGCAGAGAGGTAGAGTAGCTAACTGCTTTTCAATCCTCTCTAGAGTTAGGCAGGGGGGCCATGTGGAGCTGTTTATTTATGTACACAGGGATGTCCCTTGAATCCTTCTGGGATCTCGATGACATTTCCATGGAGGTCCTCTGCAATCCTCTGCCGAAGGTTTCTAGGGAGGGCTGCCTTATTTCTTCCTCCGTGGTAGGACACTTTCCCATGCCACTCAGCAATAACTTCAGCAAGCACCATTGCAGTATGCAGGCTAGCAGCATACAAACCCGGGTGGCTTCAGGATGCCAGAGCAGCTGTGAGCTTTATGCTTTTGTTATCCTCAGGAGTGAGATATCGACTAAAATCACCCCCGCCTGTGAAAAACGATGCCAGTATTCAGTGCAGTTGCCCTGCACTACTAGAATCATGCATCCAAGCAATTCCCTCCCCGTGTCCCAACTCCCAGCACGCCATACTCACTGTGGCTGGTGCTGTGACAGGTGCCATGCGCAAGCCATCCCAAGCTGAAGTAAGAATGTAGTGCTTTTAGGGACCAAGGAGAGTGAGGTCTGCATCTTAAGTTTTGCTTTTTGTAGTGAATATGCTGACAATGGTACCTGTGTGTGTTATATCTGCAGCTGCTGCTCTTGCGGCCTTCAGGGTCACGCCCTCCACTCCCACAAAACAACTGAGCCCAGATAAGGAGGAGAGAGAAGATGACTCGGGATGATACATTCCAGAAGATCCTGTAAGCCAGTGCTGCATCAGACCATGAGCACAGGGCCTGGAGGATGAACATTGTGGACAGCCTGGAGAAGGAGAAAGTAGAGAGGAGAAAAGCCCAGGCGTCCCAGCCAGAAAAGGAGAGGGAGATACACCAAGATATAGTGTGGCTTCTCAGGCAAAAAACACAGATGCTGCAGACTTTGGTGGACCTGCAGTTTCAACCATCCCATAGTTGCCTCCTTCTGCAGCTCATTGAGAACTCTATACTGAAACCTCCCTATACCCCTCTCAACATTCCACGTAGCACAAAGGGTCACTGCACTATCCCTACCATTCCAACCCGGGGACATTCAAGACAATCACAGCTTCTCATATGCTGACCTATGAAAGCCACGGTAGGCGTATGTGTAGCTGAAATGGACATGAATGTTCTTTTCCCTTCATAAGTTCTGGTCTCTTAATTTATTTATTAAGCTTTCATTGAGATTTGTTTTAAAATTTAATGTGTGTGACGGGATCAAGACTCACCACCGCTGGTGCCTCCAGCTGGATGTTCCGGGAATTAGCTGTGTCTGCTGTGGGGCTTCCTTAGCGCGTGGTGTCTTGCCCATTGTCTGTTCGGCTGCCCTGGGACCCGCGTTGCTCCCTGCTCAGAGGTGTCCACTTCAGGACACTGCCCTTCGGCAGTGCCCACTATTCCAGACTCACCCCCTTCGGTGTGGGGGTTAACAGCAGTCTTTGGGACTTGTACCTGCCTCAGTGGCCAACCACAACCCAACCCCACAACCCTTAGTTCAGGGGCAAGTTGCAGTCTGTATTGGTCATCATCTTCCGTGGCCAGGTGCAGTCTAAGGGTGGAAGGGAACCCAGGCCCACCTGCTACTCTGGGTCCCAGCCTCTTTCTGCCCTCCTTCATTCCCCTCGTCTGCCTATTCTTCCTTGGGCCACTTCCCCTTTGGCCCTGTGCACCTTCTTTGCCCTTTGTATCAGGGTCTGCAACTTGGCAGGTAATGGGGCTGGAGCTCTCTCCTGCTCCCCCAAGCCTGCCCAGCACTGCTCTGTCCAAGGTCCTTGTTTCAGGAGCCTGTCCTTCTCCCTCACTAATCAGGGAGGGCCTGCCTTCTTTTCTGCTAGGCAGCCTTTATATAGGGCCTCACCTGGCCCTGATTGGCTGCCTCTTCCTTCCCCTGATTGGCCCTCCACAGGCCTCTATTGATTGACTGCTGGTCTGCACAGCCTCAGAAGGCCTGTTCCAGCCCTTTTCTCAAGGGGTGGGATGGTCGCCCCACCACAATGTGGTTTTCTTTTTGCACTGATTTTGTTACAGGGTAAAATTCTATTACTTGGAACATAATTCATCTCTGTTAGTTCACAACATATACTGCTGACTGCTCAGCGGTTCTGAAAGCACCCAATTACTTGTTACTGTGTAGTGTCTTACAACTCACTCAGAAACAAAATTAATAGGTGTGTTGACAGTGTTATATTCCTATATGTACAGCAATCACCACATGATTCTTACCAGGCCACAAAAGAGCAGGGCCAGGTAGAGCACATTACAACCCCACAGCACTACTCTGGCTCACTGTTAAAATGGCTTTTCAAAGCCTCCCTGAGCTGTATAGCTCTGCGCTAAGCTCTTGTAATAGCCTTTGTATCTGGCTGTTCAAATTCAGCAGAGAGCTGCTCCACCTCCACCCCCAGCCAAAACTTTCCCCCCTTTGCTTCACAGACAGTATGCAGGACACAGCAGGCAGCTATAACAATTGGGGTATTTTTCTCACTAAGGTCCAATCTTGTGAGTAAACAATGCCAGCGACCCTTCAAATGACCAAGAGCACATTCGACTGTCATTCTGCACCTGCTGAGCCAGTTGTTGAATGATTCCTTGGTGCTGTCAGGTGGCCAGTGTATGACTTCATGAGCTGGGGAGCAAGGGGTAGGATCGCTATTCACATTTCAACATTCCCAATGGTAATCTGTCAGTCAGGAAAGAAAGTCCTGGCTTGCAGCTTTCCAAACAGTCCTGTGTTCTTACAGATGCGAGTAACATGCACCTTCCCTGACCAGTTCACACTGAAGTTGGTGAAGCATCCCTAATGATCCACCAGCGTTTGCATAACCATTGAAAAGTAGCCCTTTCTGTTGATGTACTCCGTGGCAAGGTGGTTTGGTGCTAAAGTAGGGATATGCGTGCCATCTATCACGCCACCGCAGTTTGGGAACCCCACTGCTGCAAATCAATCCATGGGCTATGTCCTGCACATAGCCCGGAGTCACAGTTCTGCCCAGCAGGAGGCAATTAGTGGCCCTGCACACTTGCATCACAATGACCCCTGCAGTGGTTTTTCCAAATCCAAATTGATTTCTGACTAACCAATAGCAATCTGGTGGTGCAGATTTCCACAGTGCAATTGCCACTCGCTTCTCCACGGTCAGTGCAGCTCTGTTTGGTGTCCCTGCACTGGAGAGCTGGGGCAAGATCCAGGAATGTGGCCTTGCGCATCCAGAAGTTCTGCAGCTGCTGCTCGTCATCCCAAACCTGCATTGTGATGCGATCCCACCAGTCAGTGCTTGTTTCTCGGGCCCAGAACTGGTGCTTCACTATCTGCAGCTGCTCCATGATCACAGCCAACAACCTTGAATTGGTTCTCGCTATGTCGCACAGCAATCTGTCCTCCAAGGAATCGTCACGTTCCCCACCCATTCGGTTCTTCTTACAGCTCTGCAAATACTCCAGGATCGCGTGCCCTGTGCTTACAATGTTCATAACAATGCAGATGTAGGCAGCCTCCAGGCTTCTATCACAGGCGGCAGACAGCGAGGAAGGCCACGTGGGTTTGTGGGATTTTGAAAAAAGCGGCGAAAATTATGGAATAGAGATAACAGTACGGGATGGAGACAGTTGCAAACTGGGCAGTTGACCCCATGCTCCCAGTCCCCCCTGCGCAACTCATTTTGGCTCCATCGTGCACTGCCAAATCTTCCCAAAAGACAGCGTGCTGGATGGTGGTGAGTTGCACAGTGGGATGCCTATCCATGGTGCACTGCACTCTGCATCATTGCAAGCACTCCTGGTGAGTACATGCATCGCGGACACAAGGAGCCAAGTATACATGTGCACAAGCAATGTACTAACTGCAGCCACTGCATGCCAACGTAACATGAGTCAACATACGTTTGTGGTGTAGACATGGCCTCTCTCCTCTCCAGGATCATGTGGTCTTACTATTTGGTGATTAACAGGAGAGACTGTGAACTTTGTAAATTACTGCAGCATTTCCATATCCCAGTAAAATCATTATCGGAAAGTTTAACTCTAACCCCTTGGCAAGACTTTTGGCTACTTCCATCTCATCATGTTGAAGTCTTGGTTGTCATCAGACTGGTGCCTTCTTGAGTCTTCCCTGTTCTTAGCTGTCTTTTTCAGCTGCAGTTTTTTTGCTGTTCTGAGTGTGTGTTCGAAGGTGAGAGCAGAGAGCAACGCAAGTCTAGCTGCCTTTGTTCTTTTGTGGCAGGAAAGTCTCACGTAACCTTAAGGCCTGGTCTACACTAGAAAATGAGGTCTACACTGGAAAATCCACACCCCTGAGCAGCGTTGTGAAGCCAACCTAAGTCCCTGTGTAGACAGTGCTAGGTCAACAGAAGAATCCTTCCATCAGCCTAACTACCGCCTCTCAGGGAGGTGGATTACCTACACCCACAGGCACAGGCACTGACTTTCCAATGTGCTGGGGGGTGCTTGACCCCCCCGGCTCTGCCCCAGGCCCCGCTCCCACTCCACCCCTCCCCCTAAGGCTCCACCCCTGCTCTGCCTCTTCCTGCCCCTTCTCTCAAGCCCCCACCCCATCTCTTCCCACCCGTGCTCCGCCGTGCCTCTTCCCACCCCATTCTGCCCCCTCCCCTGAGCGTGCAGCACCCTCACTCCTCTCCCTTTCTTCTCAAGCATCCTGCATGCTGCGAAACAGCTGATCACGGTGGGCGGGAGGCACGGGGAGAGAGGGGGAAGCGCTGATTGGTGGAGCCCTCTGGCCAGTGTTCCCTCTAATTTTTGACAGGCCGCGTGCGCAAAAAATTTCTTCTGTGCAAATTTTTGACAGGCCATGTGCGCAAAAAATTTCTTCTGTGCAAATTGTTGTGCTTTTGTGCAAATTTTTCTGCATTCGGTGTTTCGCCGTGTATGTGGTGTTTAGGATCTGTGTGCGTGTGCAGACGCGCACAGCTTAGAGGGAACAGTGCCGCTGGCAGACGGGAGGCACTGGGAGGAAGAGAGGAGCTGATGGGGGGTTGCTGGTGGATGCTCAGCACCCACCACTTTTCCCTGTGGGTGCTCCAGCCCCAGAGCACCCATGGAGTCGGTGCCTATGCCCACAGGTGAGCCCCTCCTGTTGGCATAGGTATTGTCCACACTTGAAATGCTACAGTTCTCCTTCACATTTGAAGAATGAAGATTTTAGAGTGTTTATAAAAGAAACTCACCTTACTCCTCGTTTATGGTTCTGACAAGACATGTCTACACATGACATCCCTTTTTGGTCTCAACACCCCTTTGATGTCAGGACCTAAATAGCTGCACGATCTGTTGTTTCAGAATAAACTATATTTTTACAGTTTGCATTCAGAGGTGCCTGTGGAACGCTCCACAGAATGTATCAGTCACCACTAGACCCCCAGCCCCATCCTGCAGATAGCTGGCCAACAGCAAATCACATAGAATATCAAGCTGCATTCCAAGGGTCATAAACATGATGCTCTCTCTCGACACTTGGCTTGTCTCTGCGGGGCAGAAAGCAGGCGCCTCCTGGAATTCCTTTGGTTGGGTTGAACATCTCACAACATAATGAACTAACAACATAAGCATGTAGTGTAATAATTAGGGCTGTCAAGGAATTAAAAAAATTAATCGCAATGAATCGTGCAATTAAAAAAATTAATTGCTTAATCACACTGTTAACAATAGAAGACTGAGTGGACTTGTAGGCTCTAAAGTTTTACATTGTTTTTTTTTTTGAATGCAGTTTTTTTGTGCATAATTCTACATTTGTACGTTCAACTTTCATGATAAAGAGATTGCACTACAGTACTTGTATGAGGTGAACTGAAAAATACTATTTTTTTACAGTGCAAATATTTGTAATAAAAAATAACTATAAAGTAAGCACTGTGCACTTTGAATTCTGTGTTGTAATTGAAATCAATATTGAAAATGTAAAAAAAATCCAAAAATATTGAGTGAATTTCAATTGGTATTCTATTGTTATAAGTGCGATTAATCGCGATTAATTTTTTTAAATCGTGATTAATTTTTTTTAGTTAATCGCATGAGTTAACTGCGATGAATTGACAGCCCTAGTAATAATAATTTAATTCTACCCATTTTTGCATCAATCTTGACGTTTCTCCCCCATGGAGAGCAGAAGCTGGAGAGGCAGCACCCCCCCACCTTGCCACAGCCATACTGTCCCACTTACATTTCCAGATTTCTCCCTGGCAGGAACTACTTTCCATGGCACAAGGAAATATTTTTTGCAGGGACTTTCTGCTTCCAACATGTTTTAGTAGATTTTAGAGACACCATAACACTGAGAATTAGTTCCACCAGCTGTGCATCCTGGGTTACATGGGAGATGGGAGGGCATGCCTGGCACCAGGCTGAGGGGCCATCCCGGGCTAGTGCTGGGCAGGGGTTAGAAGTCCCTTGGCAGCTGCCTGCCACCTGCACAACCCCATCCAGGGCACAACAGGCAGGTGAGCCTTTGCCTCTCTGAGCACAGAGCCTTTCTCACCACCCTCTGTCCTCTGCTCCCTGCAGCGTCCATGGTTCCTCAGCGGAAGAGTGAATTTGCTAGGATCGTGCTGCGAGCGCTGCTCACTGGGGCCTGCGTCTCCATGCTCAACGCTTGTGTCTCAGGTATGGCCCCAGCTACATTGCACTGTCCCAGGCGCCTGCTGGGACGGGCCCCTGACGGGCGGTGGGGACGAGGGGAGTCTGGAGCTCTGAGCGAGCAGGGGGAGACGGCTGCTGAGTAGACTGGGTCTTTGGGAAAGTGAATTGAGAAACTGCCATTGATGGGGACAGATAATCTGTTTGAGACCCAGCTCAGTCCCTGAATATAGTGCGGGAAAGAGATGGCAGTTAGGCGCACAGTACTGTAGGCTCTCCGCCGGCTGATGCCCCTCCCTGGGCATCTTCAACAAGGACTAGGCCGAGACCCATCAAACTCATTTTCACTAGTGACCGAAGCCTAGGGTTGCCGGGTGTCTGGTTTTTCGACCGGAAATTCCAGTCGAAAAGGCGACCTGGCAGTGTCCAGTCAGCTGTACTGAGCAGACACCAAAAGTCCGGTTACCGTCATCAACCCCCGCCAGCCCCTGCTCCGCTGCGCTGCCTCCTACCTGCATCTCATGGGCAGGCTGCAGCTCCTGTCCCAGCCCCAGAGCAGAGGGAGCCCAGCTGTGGCAGGGGAGGTGAAGAGGATTGAGCGAGGAGGAGGGAGGGGAGAGAACAGCAAGTGAGGGGTGGGGGGAAGAGGAGCGACAGGGCCTTGAGGGAAGAGGCTGGGGTGTGGGCGCAGCCTGGGGAAGAGACGGAGCAGGGGCAGGACCTTTTGGGGGAAAAGACGGGATGGGGGCAGGGCCTCAGGGGGAAGAGGTGGGGCAGGGAGGGTCTGGTTTTTAGAAATTAGAAAGTTGGAGCCAGGATTTGTCCCTCTGTCAACAGAGCAGAAAGGCCCACGCGCTAACCCACTGCGATTGGCCTCTGGCCTCAGACCAAAGCTTGTCTGTGCTAGGCAGAGCGACAATGGGGTCAGTCCGAGGTGCAGATGCACCAGTGCCGACCAGCGCCCCGGCTTGACCACTAAGTGCTCCCTGGTGGGCTCTGTGCTGGCTGCCGGCCTGCCCAGGAGTGTGGCTGGCTGGCCGTGGCTCAGCACAGGCAGATTCAGTGTCTGCCCTCTCCTCCCTTTCCAGATCCACGGCTGTGCGCAGAGTCAGGCCCTGCTCTGGGCTGCTTTTTGTCTGGCTCCTGTCCCTGAGGACCTAGGGAACGGTGCTGCCTGGCCAGGGGCTGGAGGATTAAGCCCTTCCAATAGAGGCTTTGCGGTCTCTCTGCAGCATGCATTCTGCCCAGACCCAAGCAGTGTGGGGCAGGAGGAGAAATGAAGCCTGCTCCTGGCCCTCCTGCCTCTTGCCAGCCTTCCCCACCCCTCCAGTGGGCGTTACGACACCCAGCATCCTCTCCTCACACAGCAGCAGGAGATGCAGCTCAGGGCACAGCCTTGGGTGACATCCTGGCAGAGGCCTATGCAAAGGGTCAGTCAGAGAGTCCTGGTTGGGTTGGAACATCTGTGCCCTGCGCAGGAGCAGCAAGGGCAGGTGGCCCAGCTGCTTGGCTCCGCCACCCCATAGAGGGATGTGAGGCAGGCCCAGCCCCGCGGCTGCAGCAGGACACTCAGTTCCCTTGTGTAACTGGCCCCCGCTCTCAGAGAAAAGCCCTTATCCATTATGCCACTCACAGGCCTCAGCCCTGCTGGCCACGGAGAGGGGCCAGCAGGCCCATAGGTGGCTGGGCACTGTGAGTGCCCAGGTGTAAGGGGACGGGCCCTGTCACTGTGTGGGTGGGGCTGTGCTAATTGCCAAGCATGCTCACTGAACGGGTATGGAGAGGCCTGGGGCAGGGGCAGTCTGAGCTGGATGCTCTGCGATGGTGCTGGGCCCTTGAGTGCTCCTTGCACAGAGAGGGGTTGTGCTGGGGGCAAAATAGTCTGGCCCAGGGCCCCCTGGAGCACCCCTCGCTGCAGCCATGGGGAATAGCCCACATCTGCCCCCCATACTCCCAGCTCCGTGTGTGCTTCCACCCTGCCCTGTGCACGTGGTGACCCCCAGCCCACTTCCTCACACACTCCCTAAAGCGCCAACCACCCACCCAAAGACTCACTCACCACTGGAGCCCTGTGGTGGTGGGAGGTACAGTCCCTGCTTTCCAGCTCCCTTGGATGGTGCTGGACCCCCAGGAGGGCCTGGGCCATACGCAACTTTATGTCACCTTGGCTCCTCTGCGGCTGGTTCTGGGCAAGTGTCATGCTGATGCTAGCTGTGCTCTGGCTGAGCAGCACTGCCCCACAGACACAGGCTCTCCCATCCGCCTGCTGTCCAGCAGACTCTCCTGGGCACCTAGCTCATTTGGGGTGGGGCCCAGAGCCTGGCTGGCCCCATAACACCTGCTCGCAGAGCTGCCGTTGTTGGCTTGTGCAGCCTCCCGGGATGAACCTCGGGGCGTTTCATGTGACCGTTTCAAAGACCGGTCCAGGGGTGTCTCTCTGCCTCCCCCATGGGCCACGTCACTGAGGCACCGTGTGCATCGGCAGAGCACACCCAGGAGATCCCAAACGCAAGGAAGTCAAGCGAGTCACGTACGGCTGGCATTGACTCAAAGCCATGGCAGGGGTCCTGGCTGCTGCAGGTCCTGCAGGCTTGGAGAGGCTCCCTTAGAAGGTATTATGCTGCTTCCCACTCCAGGCCGCTAGGTCACGGGTGTGAACACAAGGCACTCCTACCAAATACTGGCCATTTCTGAGACCAGTAACACCCCGTGTAACAAACTCCTTCTCCTTGCCGCCAGGCATCCTGTACGTGCCCCGAGGGGAAGTGGCCGACTGCTCTGCATTCCTGAGCACGGCAACCTTTAACACCACCAGCTACGACATCTACATGTGCTGCCGGCAGCTGTTTGCTAAGTGAGTTTTTTGTCCTTAACCAAGCACGAGGGGCCTGGCCACACTGGTTGGGTGTGGCTGTTGCCTGGCCTGGGTATGCGTCTATGTCGGAGGGGCAACTGGCCCTTTGGGAGCTAATGGGGCTCAGACCCACCCACACCAGTGCAGCGTGGCATGGTGAGGTACCCCCTTCTGCTGCTGGGGGCTCGACCCTCACCTAAAGGGCGCAGGCCAAAAAGCAGGGCCGCCATCAGTGTCCCAAACAAGGGCCAGCAGCTCTGGTTGGCAGGGCTCAGAACGGGCCCAGCTTGAGGGGCTGCAGTGGCGTGTGTTGAACTAGTTCTCCGAAGGCCCTTTGCACTGTAGCCTGGCCTGAGAGCCCAGGTGGGGCAAAGGGGAGATTTTGAAACCAATTCCAGGCATTGGCGTCACAGCGATCACTGACTGTTTCGCAGGCCAGCGCCAGTGCGGTGACGGTTCCTCCTGAAACTTTTTGGTTTTGGGAAAAAAGGCTTCTGGTTTTGAATGGAAAAAAATGTTTAAAAAATTTCCCCTGGCCATAGACAAAAAATGCAGCAGCAAGAGGTCCGTTGCAGGGAATGCAGGGGTAGGGGCTAGGCACCCAGCACGGCGTTGCAGGGCCTGATCCTGGTAGTGGGTGTCTGCGGGGGAGGGGGCTGATCATGAGTGGGAGAGGGCTCTGAGTAGAGGGAAGTGTTGAGCTGTGGAGAGACCGTTTTCCCAGTGAAATCTGAGAATCTCCTGTAATCACCTGACTCCAGGAGCTGGGGCTGTAAGGAAAACCCCCACTATCACTGGGCAAGTGATAAACTCTCTTGGCTGGGCAGCACTGAGGTGGGGGAGGGCATTAAAGGGAGATAAGCCATCCCAGCCAGACGGGCGGAGGATTCGAGGCTCTCGGCCGTGGGGAGAGGAGACCCTGTGGAAGTGGGTGGGTCGGTGGGAGTGGGGAGGGGGTGCTGTGCTGCGGGCAGTGTCAGGCCATGGTGTTCCGAGGTGTTGATTCCATGGCAAGGTGTCTGTCTGGTGCAACTGACCCTGACTGCACTCTCCCTTTCAGCACTGTGCTCAGCAACAACGGGACCCTGTCCTTCACCGGCAGCTGGGTGGGACTCGAGCTCAGCATGGCCTCTCTGACACAGTGCTGTGGGCACTATAACAACACAGTCTGCGCTGGGCTGCCCTAGAGGCGATAGGCAGCCACCCAAACCAGCACTCGCCCACGGTGCCGGCTCCCAAAGCCCAGTTACAGACTGTGTGAGAGCAGGGCATTGGCCAGGCACTGCTGGTCCATAGCTAACCCTCTCTGGAGCACGACAGGCACAGCCCCATCAGCCTTTCCTCCTCTACTCCCTTTGGCTGCACTGCCCAGGAGCTGGGAGATGCTGTATTTTGGGCTCGACGCTCTTCCTCCCTCTAGCCCCATGAACCTCTCAGATGACACAGGACAGACAGCAGCCAGAAGGCCCCAGATGGGGATTTCCTCTGCCAGTCCCCTGGAGCTGTGCCCACCAGTGCAGATTACAGCAACCACCCTGGGGCTGGCCCCAGAACCAAGGAACACCGGAAGGCTCCTGGGTGGCTCCCCAGGCTGGGCCCTGTTGACAATCCAGGCCTTATCTGACCAGTCCCTGTGGTTCCGGTATATGCCACGGTGGTTAATGCCCTGCAGACCCTTCCTGCTTGTGGACTGGGTCCCTTCCTGCCCAGCTGCTGGGCTGGGGGGCTTGTCCCACACACTCAAGGAGGCTTTATGTATGTTAATACTACCTACTAATAAAATCATGAGGAGTCCCGGGTGCCTCACAGCTCCTTGCGGTGCTCCTGGCCCAGCCCTCCTGGTTGGACTGTGCAGCTGCCACTCATCCAGACAGGGGGACTCCTCCCCAGGTGAGAGGCCACCCAGCCTTGCCCTGAGCATTTAAGCCAAATTTTCAGAAGGGCTCAGTGCTCATCACCCACAATTGGGGCATGATTTTCAAATGCGCTCGGGTGTGAACAGGGGAGCTGGGCTTTTTAGACAGTCTGGCTCAAGCTGTGGGGCAGGGGGCACTGAGCTCTTCTGGAAACCCCAGACTTCATTTTGTCCTTTTGCTTGGATCCACTGTCAGCTCTTTCCCACCATGCTCCTCTCTGGTGCTCCACCTCTCCCTGCCAGCCCCCATCAGTCCAGCCATCACTATTCCTGTCACACTGTGCTTAGGCCTGTACAAACAGGAAGTCAGACAAGATCTCTCCCTGCTCTGTCCGGGTGGGTACTTTTGGTTCTTATCCCCAGCTGAGTCCCTCACCATCTTTGTGCTACTAATCCTCACAAGACCCAATGAGATAGGGATGCTGCTGTCCCCATTTCACAGGTGGGGAACTAAGGTATGGCAAGACAAAGGCCCAGATTTTCACTGGTACTTGGTGTAACTCTAAATAGCTTTGCAAGGCCCAGGTGACTGCTGGCTGAGTCCCATTTCAAAAGCGACTTAGGGATAGCTCCACAAAGGGACTAGACTCAGGGTTGCAGCGACGAATGCAGAGTGGAGGTGGGTCCTGTCATCAGAAATACTTAACTAGTCATTGAGATGGGGGGGGCACAGCTTCAATCCCTGCTCCAATAAGGAGACATAATGGAACAGCTTCAACAAGCAAGGTGGCCAAAGCCTCACCCTGGAGTACACCCTAACCTGGGGGGCAGGGCGCTGGCCTGGAACATCAGGGACATGGGGCCAAGGCCTGATGCAGAGTGAGGATTTGAACTTGGGTTTCTTGTCCTGGGTGAGTGCTCTGTTCATGGGGCTATTTGGTATAAGGGAGGCACCTCCACCTCCTCAGTGTGGGGCTGATCTGTTGATGTTCCCCAGGGCAGCCTCTAGCTCCCCCTACCATTGGGCCCTGCAGGAGAGCTAGGCGGGGGGATGACTAGTGTGAAAATCCTGCTGGGGCTTAGGAGCAAGCTAGACACTGGGCATCAAGCCAGAGGCAGCCATGGATATACACCAGGGTAGAAAATTAAGTGCCTAGGGGACTTTATCAGTGCAAATGTAGGCACCTAGAGAGTTAGGTGGCCACTGAGCAGTAGTTTTGAGGCTCTACGTTTTGGACTTCGGCACCTTAAGTGCCAGGCCCCCAAATCCTGTTGTAGACTTTAGGAGCCTCAGTCCTATTGTATGTCAATGAGATTCTAACCCTAGACCGGGCATTAAGGCTGGGAAAGGTGTGTGGGGAACATGCCTGCCTGCAGAGGGCCCTCAGGGAGAAGAGAAGGGCTGTTCTTAGCCCGCTAGCTCACACTAAGCTACTGCCAGTCTGCCTGCCGGAGTGGGGAACGCATCCCCAGCTGCAGTGCAGACAGACCCGAAATGCTCCTGCCTATATGGCACTCCGGGAAGCAGCAGGAGTCGTGAACCACTCTGGCCACTTTGGGAGCTGGTGCAGAACAGCAGGCAGCCTCCACTGCCACCAGCTTGTTCTAGGAGCCAGAAAGAGGCCTCTGGCAGGAGATGGGTTCCTGACCGCAGTTAGCAGCTCTCAGCAGTGTCAGCCATGCTGTGTACCAGGTCATGTGGTCAGTGCTAGATTTCATCATGGTTATCACGGACTTCTACCCTGGGACCATTCCTGGAGGCTGAGAAGGGCAGAAACTGCTTCTGTGTTGTTTGCTGCTGGTATTGCAGTGATGCCTGGGGGTCCCAAGCAGAGATTAGGGCCCCATGGGGCAGGGCTCTGTAACAATATCAAAAAGACAGTCTCTGTCCCACAGCACTCACAGATTTATGGAGAACCCTAAAGCACAGGTGGGGTAGGAAGGCCAAGGGAGCAGTGAGAGACGTTGGTTATCTAGCAAAGGCAGAACAAGAACCAGTGGCCGGATGCTGAAGCCATTGGCACAAGCTACTGAGGGAGGTGGTGGCTTCGCCAGCTCTTGATGTCTCCAAATCCAGCCTGGATGCCTTTCCAGGAGATGGGCGTTGCCCAAACCCAAGTTATTGGCTCACTCCAGGGGTAAGTGGGGGAAGGGCTCTGGCCTGTGGTATACAGGTGGCCAGATTAGATGATGTAATGCTCCCGTCTGGCCTGGAACTCTAGGTTTTTGCATGTTGAGCATTAGCCTGTTAGGCACCTTCCTCCTTGGTCACCAGTGCCAAAATCAGACTTACCCAGGCTAGTTTGTAATAAAAGGTCCTTCCTCCCTGGCCCCCAGACCCAGCTGCATTGTGAGATTGGGCCCTATATTGCCTCCCAATCCAAGTGTCTGACCATATCTCCCTAGGGAGCGCCTAGAGCCTGTGCCCTCACAGTAACACTGAGCAGCTTAGACTACAAGCTCCAATCTGCCTCATGCACCCGATAATCCTCCCAGAGCAGGTGGGGCACAACAGCAGTAGGGAGAGTCCATGCCTGACCAAGCCAACAAGGCTGCTGCAGACTAATCCAGGCTGTGAGTCTGAAGGAGTGGCAATGAAAAGGTAACAGCTGAACGCCTCCATAGGGAGCCTGGGTGGTCCCAGGGGCAGCCCTGAGAGTTATTCAGAAAGGTTTCTGGCTTCTGACCTGTGGCCCTTCAGGGCAGGGTCTGTCCCAGCCCCCTGCCTGCACCATCCCCATTCAGGCAGATCAATGGAACTTCCAAAAGCCCCTTATGCACCAGTGGGTCTACAGCAGAGGCTCAGGGAGCTGCAACCAGGCCCACACATAGCTGCCCCATGCAGCCAGGCCCAGCTGCGACTGCACTGCACGTACACCCATGCAGGTTACCCCCACTTGAAATGAGGATCAGCTGCAGAGGTGCAAATGGCAGCATACAACAGCTTTGCACTAGGGGGTGGCAGCTACACTGGGGTAGCCCCATGGCTGTAATCAGAGCAAATAAGGCCCACATCAGCCTAGGGCAAGAGGTGAAGGCTCTCAGGGCTCAGCAAGGTCAAGTTCCAGCATGGCAAAAGGAGAACAGGAAACTCAAGGTTGCGTCTTAGGGCTCATGTGGCTCAATATGTTTATTAGTGAGCGTTCAGCAGGCACAATGGTATTTACGCTAGTCAAGTCCAGAGAGGACTGCAAGGCACTTCTGAGGGACCTGATCCAGCAAGGTGAACTTCACTGGTGAATAATACAGTGTAATACACCTTAGAGGGAATACTACTAATACGCATCTCAGGGGTCTAAATTACCTGTGTGGCCCCAAGAAAGGGAGCTGGGCATCCCTGTGGGCAGCTCAATGAAAGCCTCTGCCCAATGTGCAGCAGGACCAGTTACAGGCACCAGCAACATGTTTAGGTGCATAAAGACTGGGATTGAGAACAGCGGTGAAAACACCATTGTGCCTTCTCTAAACCGCTGGTACACTCTTGCCATGTTCAGATCTGGTTACCCCAGCTCAGAAATCCTGGTGCCAGAGAGCAGGTGCAAAGATGAGGTGGAATGCAGCTGGGGGAAGGTTTTCCCAAGCAGAGACTGAACAGATTAGCCATATAGCATTTAGAAAGGAGGGGACATGGAGAGATATGTAAGATTAGTTTGGGGCTCTTGTTTGCACTCCCAGATGAGCAGCCCAAAGGGAAGCCCAATGAAATTAAAAAGCAGCAACTTTCCAACTGGAAAAAGGGGACTGTTTTTAAACGCACTATAGTTTATAAATGGAACCTGTGGAACTCCCTGCCCCAAGTGCTGGGGGCCAGAGCTCAGGAGGCTTGAACACAGAATGCGAATTGGATTTCAGAAAGGAATTAATTCAGGGATGTTCTCCGGCCTGCCTTCCACTCAGTCAGCAGGATGGTGAACATGGTCCCTGCTGGCTTTGGAATGTATGATTTGAATAATGAGAAGGGATGCAGCTCCATGAGAGGGGAGAAAAATTTCAAAGGGCTCAAACCTTTCAGACATCAGGGCAAAAGCCAGCCCCTGCTTGATGGCTCAGGAAGCAACATCACTGCAGCCATGGGAGCAGGGGTTTCAGACCTTCCTTTGGCCACATCGCTGGCCAGGCTCTGGTGTACCTCATCAGCAGGCGATGGAGTTCCAGCCAGGATGACTGGGAGCCGTTGGGTCTCATCACTGCACTCCTCAGAGATTGTACCTGCCTTGGGATGGGGGCTGTAGCTGTGCCAGGGAGGGTGCCGACTGAGGCACTGGTCTCAGGATGCAGGTGGTGTTGCCTACCCTACACCTGGGAGGGGGTGGGTGCAAAAAGACTCTAGAAAAATGAAAACCCTTATCCTTTGTCCCCAGCACCACACACAGTCCACCTCCTCCACCCCACAGACAAACACCTGCTATGCTGGGCTTTGGATAACACACTGCTAGGCACCATATCACCCCCCAGCTAGCTGGAGAGCAGGAAGGAGGGGTATCCTGGCCCCTCCAGCCGGGAGAGACGCACTGGAGAGCAGGCCAGTCCATTGCGCTTTATTACTCGCGCACACCTGGTTGCCAATATACAGACGAGTATGTCCATGGTTATCTTACAACAGGCTGACTGAGAGCAGGAAACAACCCCGGCAGAAAGGTGAAGTGCAGCCGCAGCCACAGAGCACAAAGCACCAGCCAGGCAGCTCCCTAGCACAGACAGCCGGGCCTGCAGCCTTGGCTGGGCACCTGGCTTTGTAACACCACAGCACTGCTGCTGCCAGCTCCACTCACCTCCATTGGTACTGAAGTTCTGTGGCATCCTGGTCCAACGCCCCATGGTCGCAGCTATTCTGTGCTCTGAGCCCAACGGGACAAGGGCTCAACAGCTCCCCTCCCTCTGAGCTGGCCCAGGCTGACCATTAACTGCAC